CTTGACTTCTCCGATTCCCAATTGTCTCTTACTTGAACGGATAGCTATGCCTGTCTTTACTGAACATTCGGCTGCGTCGCGGGAGCTACGAGTCCTCCCTTCATTTGCTCCACCGTTGCCACGCCTCACACCGCTGCTATCACCTGCAACAACAGAGAAGTATGAAGTGATAGTTGTGGGAGCAGGCCCCGCGGGGTTAATGCTGAACTTACTTTTGGCTCGTTATGGACTGAGTGACGACTCTCTGCTATGTATAGATTCAAAATCCACAACTTTGAAGTCGGGACAGGCGGACGGGCTTCAACCTCGCACGCTGGAAACATTGAAGTCTCTAGGCCTGGCAGATGAAATTCTGTGCGAAGGATGTCAGATGTGGCAGGTAGGTTTTTCGTTCACTCGCATTTGAGTTTCAACTAACATTATCCGAGGTCGCCTTCTGGAATCCATCCGAAGACAAAGATAAAATCATTGAGCGCACATCCATTGTGCCCGATGTCGCTGTCCCCGCACGATTTCCACATGAGGTTACCATCCACCAGGGACGCATTGAACGTATCCTGGAGACAGACTTGCTACGCTATTCCAAACGAGGTGTTCAGCGAAACACCAAGCTCATCGACGTCACCATCGACGAAGATGGTGATGCAGAATTCCCCGTTGTAGCAGAGATTGAGACAGAAGGCCAGAGACGCACCCTGCGAACAAAACACCTGGTCGGCGCAGATGGAGCGCACTCGGCAGTTCGACGCAGCATGGGGCTGAAGCTTGAAGGCGAATCAAGCGATCACATCTGGGGCGTCGTAGACCTAGTTGTCGATACTGATTTCCCAGACATCAGAAGGCGATGCGCCATCCACTCGCCGGCGGGATCTGTAATGGTTATTCCGCGCGAGCGTATCGCCACTGGAGACTATCTGACGCGGTTGTATGTGCAAGTGCCTGGGGATGTCGTTCCAGATAGTGATCAGCAGCCGGAACACGGCACTGGCACACCTCCAGTTGTAGATGCACGGGCGCGCCGGAGTCAGGTCACTGAGCAGACGATTTTCGAGAATGCTGCTGCTGCGTTCAAGCCGTACTATATTCGACCTAAGAAGGATGGGGCGGTTGACTGGTGGGCCGCTTATCAGATTGGGCAGCGTGTTACGGACAACTTTTCTGTCAAGGATAGTAAGGGTGTTAACCGGGTCTTCATCGTTGGAGATGGTAAGTCGCTAGCTGCACGAAGTCTAAGCCATTTTTTTGCTGACCAGAAGAAATAGCCTGTCATACCCATAGCCCGAAGGTGAGATAGTATATGCAAAATGTCCGCGCATAGTGCTTTTGCTGACCATCACTTATCTAGGCCGGCCAAGGAATGAATGTGTCAATGATGGACTCATACAACCTAGCTTGGAAGCTTGCCTATTCCATTAACGGACTCACGCCTACACCTCCCAACGGACAAGCAGATCCAATCCTCGACACATATCACCAGGAAAGGCATACCATCGCGCATCAGCTCATCGAATTCGACAGAGCATTCTCATCCATGTTCTCGGGCAAGATCGGCGCTGAAGATGGCGGGCTCACCCATGATGAATTCCTCGAGGTGTTTAGTCGCGGCAATGGGTTTACCAGTGGCTGCGGTGTTGAATATCCCGAGAATCTGACGGTCAACCGACGTGTTAACGGAAATCAAAATCCTATCAGTGGCACAGATTATCTGTCTGGTATTCTCCGACCGGGACGAAGACTATTGAATGTGCGCTTGGTGCGACATGCAGATGGATATCGCCGCGATTTGCAAGATGGTAAGTATTATCGAACTCACTCTCGGTTGTCCGGCTTTAACCAGGTTGTATAGATTTCACTTCAATTGGCCGTTTCCGAATTCTATGCCTTGCATCATCGGATCTGTTAGATCCCAAGGGTCATTCAGCAAAAGCACTTACCGCTCTGAGTGGTACTATCTCGCGGTTTCCGAAATCTGTCGTGGAGCTAGTGGTTATCCATCCTCGTCTGTCGAGAGAATTCATGTGGAACGACATCCCTCGGGAGGTAAAGGAGCATTCTGAGATGGCATTCTACAGTGGGTATGAGATGGATGATGTTTATGGGATTTATGGTGTCAATCCTGCCGCCGGTGCTGTGGCGGTTGTCCGGCCTGATGGTTACATTGGTGTTATCGTGTCTTTGAGTGATGTGGAACATGCCCAGAGTTACCTTGAGACGCTGATTAGAACTGTCTAAGTAACAAAGGTTGGATATATTCCTACGACGTTATATGTCGCATGAATTTAGAGCACATATATGGAAGCTGCGATGCTTGCTGCTAGATATTTGAGTGAAAACGAATCTCCACAAAATATTGAGACTCAAGGGTATCAGCGTTGCAAAGCGACGACGGTTTGACTTCGTATATAGGAGGCATATATAATACTCAGTAAATATTTCTACTACTACAAGGATCGTATTATACATTCTTCAGAACATTAAGCAAAGCTGAAGCTGAGGCAAATATGTTTGCACTGTTTGTAATTAATCCTTTGTAAATTCACAAGCCGTAAAATTCCTCCCAAACTTTTCCTCTTTTTCACACCTCTCACTTGTCGGTTCCCCTTTCTATCTATTGAGCACATATATCGAACTGTGAACTTGACGATTATGGCCACATGTGGAATGGCAGTATTGTTGCTGCGCTATTGACCTTTACCTCAACTTCTTGTCGAAGGCGGACAAGGACAACCCTTGTGCAAAATGTTAAGTGGATCTCTGAAACTTCTCATATAGGCCGGACGCACTCAGATACAGGAATACCAATTGTGAATTATGGAGCATCCGACGGACCTGTGGCGCAATTGGTGAGCGCATCATGCTTATGTAATACTCCATTTCGGTGGAAATTATCATGAAGGTTGGTGGTTCAAGCCCGCCCTGGTCCATCTCTTTTTTTTTTTTTCCCCTTTTCCCCGTCACCCCTCCCAACATAGTGAATCTCTTTTTAAAACAAAGAAAAATAAAGAGTATGAATTGGTCCAGATTACTTCTCTTCAAGGTTCGCTTATACCTTTATGCCGAGAACTCAGTACAGAGCAATTCTCCAGCGAAAGCAGCGACCTCTTAGCTAAGATTTTGGTTCACTCACCAGTCGGCCCCTCTTCGACACAATCCGTAAAGGAAACTAGATCTCAGGAGTTTAGGAAAAGTTGAAGACCTTAGGATACAGGCAACGAATCACCTACTGCTTGGCATTCTCGGTTTGGTATGCAATTCGTCTCGCTACATGATATAATTATATTGGATGACACAGTCAGAAGATAGAGCCAAAAATAAAGCATCCAGACTCGGTTTGCAGCGCGAGTTTGCGGTCATTTGTGCTATGCACCAACTCAGCAATGTTCTCCACATACCAGAAACTCACCCATTATGATGTCGGTCAATATAAGGCTGAGCTATCAGCTTCCTTTTTGTAAGATGTGAAAATGCACACCTATGCCGTAGCGGGCAATGGTTGAGACGACACTTCGCTCACGGCTAGATAACTCTCCGTAGAGCTCGCGCGCTATACCTAACCAAGTCAGTCCTTGGCTTGTGCCAAGGCTGTTGCGGTATACAGTACATGCGAGCTGGAGCGTCGATCAAGCTGTCAAATTTGCAGATCAGGTTTACAAGGAGGAAATATAATCATCCACCAGGTCCGGGGGGATCGTAACTCTCCCTTGTTTCCTGAATATCCTTTCAAGTTTGCCGTTTTCTGTCAGTACGTTGCGCAGCGAGAATATACTGATAATCTTCCTTCTCCTGGGGATTCTAGAACGAGCCTATGTCATTACGCTATTTTTGAGTAAACGGCCCTAACCTTATTCGGAACGCAGAAACAAAATACTTCCGATCCTTCGAAAACCTTTCCCTCCTCCCGTCAATCATAACCTGGATTGACATCGGCATTTCGATTGGTGGCTGGGTGGCTGTCATGCACGTCGAACATCCCCTCCTCCCGACTCCATACAGCCAAGCCAGCACGGCGCTACTAGCGGTGCTATATCTATACATGGTAGGAGTCTTTGTGGCGTTCGGACTCCGCCGAGGGTACCTTCCCAAAGAGGAACGGTGGGGCATAACGGCCGTGACCGTGTGCATCCCGCTGTTGGCGGTGCGCCTTGCATATACGTTCGTTTTCATAAACACCGCCGACATGGATTCCAACGCGATCAAGGGTAACCCCACGGCTTACTTAGTCATGACCATGTTGCCAGAAGTTGCTATTATTGTCACCTGCACATACATCATACAGGCAAAATGTTGTCGCATGATAGGAGTCACCAAAAGCTGGGGACAGAGGACGGGGATGGCAATTATTGGTTTGGTACGGCGGAGAATCCACGTGGCATTGTATAGCGCCCTGTTCGCCTCCTTTTGGGTTAGTGGATCGACTTAATGCACGCCCGTTGAATGTGCAGAAAATTCTATTGTTGGCCATGTGGTTGTTTCATCGATATTGGAATTCGTAAGTGTTGCTAGACCTGGTAGGGGTTTGATCCCGCAATATCATCCGGACGAATAGCGTATTCCTGCCGAGAAGGTTCATCTGCAACGAGTCGGAATGGGTGACACAGTGGGGTGCAGGATCCGTGGCGTTTGAAATCGTGAGACATTTGCATTTCCTGTGAGTAAAAGGATTTTTATTTGAAGTGTTTGTTGCATGCTAAGGATAGACTTAAGGTGAAGAAAAGACGAGTTCCCCAACGATGAGACCAGGACGGACCGGATGGAGGACAGAATTTAGAACTTTTGACTGAAGAAACTGAGTCAGCCCCGCTTGAACTTTATCACGGCAGAAGCAGCGACCGACATTCGCATCATTGGAGCGTATAATGTTTAGCGGGGCACCTCGGCCCGTTTTCTGATTTGCCTACGGAATGTTGACGGCTTCCATTGAAATTGGTCCCTTTCACCTGTCGACTTCCAACATCATCTTTCTGCTCGAGATATCGTTCCTCGGAGCTCTGCACTGCAACATGAAGGACAAAGGCCTCAAGGCTGTGCGTTTGCGACCCCGTCTTCTACCCCTTACTCCCCTTTTGACCGCTAATGTTCGCACCAGGATTCGGACATATATGCCGTGAACGAAAGCTTTGTTCCGGATGACTGGAAATCGTTGGTTTGCTGTTATCGGGATGCAGTCCAGCCTAACTAACAACTCATGCTAGCGAAACAACATCTATTGCTTCCTCCCTATATCGAGGCTATTATGAAAATGGGCGGAGGTGCGCGGCTTTTACTATCCTACATGGCCTGTAAAATCAACTGACATAGTTTTAGATATCAGACCTTAAGGGAGGAATCCTAGTATTTATTTCCAGCGCCGCTGCTATCATGGCCAGTCTAACTGAATCCCAGTGTTCCGTCCGATGATCAACAATTCGAGGCATATGAAGCTGGGTATTATCACAACCTCCTAATTGCTTTGGAAACTAGTACTAAAATCTATCTAGACATATCACCGCATTAACGATGGATTCACACCGAGATAACCCGCTCTTTCGATCACCGGTCGGGGGGAAAGATCTAAAACACGTTCTAGATATCGGAACTGGAAAGGGGTCATGGGTAGTGTGAGCTGCGACAGCGGTCTTTTGATAAATATTTGCTGACATGAGAGAAGTGACGTTGCAGATTTATTTCCTACAGGTAAGACCGATGAGAGAAATCGCAGCCCTGTGACATGGGGTTGACTTTGATAGCAACTGTCCGAGGAGTGGACCTATTCCCTCCGCCGATAAAATGGATGCCGCCAAATTGCGTCCTTGAGGTGGACGACATCCTCCAACCCTGGACATGGCAACAGCCCTTCGATCTCATCCACATGCGCATTTTGGATGCCGCTTTTACGCCTGAAGAGAATGCACAACTATATCAACAATGTTACGAGTATGCATTCACACAAGACATGAAAAGATAAATACTGATAAGCTTATAGTAATCTTCGACCCGGTGGTTGGATCGAGCAGCTCGAGTTATCACACAACTTCCACAGTGAAGATAATAGCTGGCCGGAACATTGCCACCTCAAAGACTGGGAAAAATTGATGACGACCGCTGCAGCAAAGTCTGGAAGACCTCTTGATCTCTATCACCGCTTTCCAAGTCTGATCAAACAGACTGGTTTTGTCGATGTACACGTGGAAGAAGTAAAGTGGCCGGTTGGGCCATGGCCCAGGGATAAGCAGCTAAAGGAGGCAGGATCTGTCAATCAGGCGCACTGGTTGGCAGGAATGGAAGGGTATTCAATGTATCTGTTCACGAAATTTGGGAGTCCGACTAGCTGGTCGAAGGAGGAGGTCCAGGTTCACTTGGCCCGAGTGAGGAAGGAGTTGACGGATTCCCGGTACCACCTTTACCATACAGTGTGAGTGAACAGTTCATATTCTGAAGTTCTATGCTGATATTTCACCAGAAAACGGGTTTGGGCTCGGAAGCCTATGCCAGACGAACATATTATTAAAATTGAAGATGAATAGGGAAAGTATCACTGAAAACTGAACTTAAAGCTACTATACATAGAGCCAAGACCGAGACTAATTCCACATATGAAGTACACCATGCAAAAGTACGTGCTGTAGATAATCTACTTTCTAGTTAACCCAATCCATGCTCATGGCCCGAGGCACCAATATTGCTTAAACCTTGTCCCTCGAACAAAGGGCCCCTGTTCGTGGTGGATCTCCAAGTCACCCTCCGCGAAGTATTCATTCTGACATATTTTGGCTTTTTACACAAAATGGCAGTCCCGACACTTCCAGTATGGCTCTTCCCCAATATTTACTCAACATCCCGAATGGACGATCGTGTTCCTCCAACTTGGCGTGTGGTCTTCCTCTGTCCCATGGACGACACGGAGCGAGTTGAAATGATGATCAAACTAAGCACCGTCGACGAGGAATGGGCAGATCGTCCCCAAGCTGCGGTGCGGCGTCTGGTCGAAATCCGTTGGTTGATGGACTGGACACCACCTACATCGGCTATCGTCACCATGATGAGAGACGATCCATTAATCTCTATTGATGATCTGCCCCGGGTAGCTCACATGGCCGGTATCACACAATCGGCCGGACCAACCTGCTGCTGGGAGTTGCTTTTTCAAGGCGAACTGTCATGAGAGTATACTGGAATTTCACCGGAGCCAAAAGAGGAAACGGCTAAATCTGTTAGCAACTGCAACCCTAGAATAGCTGGGTGGTGCGGAACTAGGTACAAGACTACAAATGGCGTGCTTCCATCCCACCTCTCTGGACTAAGCCTCGAGCCTTCTACCCCAACTCTTATCTCTCTCGTGCATATCTCAGCAAAAGTACAAGAGAACCTTGAGTCGACGAACGGCTGTAAACAATCATTCACAGCTCGCCAGGAAACCAAGAGCCGTGTTCTACAGCCCAACTCTACCGAATGTTTCAAGCGCCGAAGAATTGCCGCGAAGGGAACTACCCTACCAGGCCTTCGCACTTTTCATTGACGAAGGCGTAGAAGGGTACCATATCGTTGACGGAAAAGAAGCTAGCGTTCCGAGATTCTCGGACTCAGATGGTAGCAATTTAGAGATCGGTACTGTACCATTTGAAAAAGTAAGAGTTCTTTGGATGCAGCCCGGATCCAGAGAGTCATATCCCACTAAAAGTGCCAAGAGGCCCATACAAGTATAATCCCGCCATGTGCGAGCTGAATGTCTTTCGCGGGGAGCCAATCGTCAGCCCTGATGATATTGCGGGCCGTCTCGACACAAGCGTCATCTTCTTTCTAAAAAAATTATGACCCCGACTGAGCTACGCAAGATCCGATCGGAACTCTTCAACAGTGTGACCGATGAGCAGTTCGTGTGGGTTGATGTGTCACATTGACTGGTGTCACCGGATATGCAGGGATTGGTAGCATACTTTGAATACGGAGAGTTCGCCAACCACTCTTCTCCAGACAACTTTCTTGCCGTTGACCGTAAGTCTCTCTCGGATGCGATGGAGCCAATCGATGAGCGGGGAGACTGGGAGGCTGTTATTGTTGCTTCTTACAAGGGCTGGTGATGTGTGGTTTAAAGATGAGATGCATCATTGTTTTGGTTATATCTCGAATGAATATGGTTATGATAGACGAGATTACGAGGAAGCTGAGAGCGTATATATTAACTTGAAAATTGCCAATATGAGTTGGGATGAGCTGTGTGATGGTGCATCAGTCGTCTATTGAAGTGCGTATCTCACGTGGGCTGAGGAACATTCAGTGCAAATCTTCTCGCGGTCTTTTGGTCCGAAGAAAATCCCGTATGGAATGATTCACCACGGTCTCACCGAAGTCATCTCATAATTCAGTTATTATTCTGGACTTCTTTATCGGGTCTAAGCCAACAAATGAGAAGAAAAATCAGCAACTGTGGCTCGGCACTTATACGAGAGCGCCCATGTGGCAGTTTATCAGCCTCAAAATGTGCAACAGCCCCACAAAGACAGGGCCAAGGCCAGCACATCGAAATGTACACCGTCGAAATATCTTACGACATCGGAGCCACATAACAATGTACCAAAGTGTGTCTCTTTTGTGCACTGTAATAGTCAGAGAGGCATGGATCACAGGAGCTTCTCAATACTAGTGGTACCTGCGTTCGAATAAGGTTTCATCAACGGGGACAGTTTCAGAACCTTTGATTCAGGAGGTAAATCGAGTTAAATTACATTTTAAGTCTCAAGTCTTTGACCTCCCACCAAAATCTTGGAAGTTGGATCTAGTGCCGCTGAAACCAATCTTTTATTGGAACAAAGCGGCGACTATGGATGGCCTTATGCAAGGCGCTGCTGACTGCAGAGGAAAACGGGATCAGCTGTGGCGGGGGCCAGAATACTTCCATTCTCGACGCACAGACAGCACTGGTGACTTGTTGTCAATGGTTTTAACTGTTAGTAGCTTGGTTGTAGTGGTAGGAAGAAGCTGTTTTGGCCGTCGAAGCAAGAGTAAAGTCAAAATAACGTAGAAAGATTACTATTAATGTCCTCAGAGGCCCGTTAGATATAGCGCGAATAAGAAGCAGCGGGGAAACAAGCCCTAAGAAGTGAGCGCAAGCTCTAAGTTCGACTATCTCTGACTGCCGATCGCAAAACCCTGCCTGTCGAGGTATAATTATCAATGAATTATATTCGAGTCCTTTCAGCCCGATGGAAACCAGTTCCTGATTCGTACCCCCGTCCGAGAAATGGGTTTCTTTGTCCCCCGGCCCAGTGCCTTTTCTCTCTCCTTTTCCTCCTCCCACTCTTGATAATCGAAATATCCAAGTTACGGCAAATTACATATTTGTTAACAAGCTGTTGACTGTCGGTCCATAATGCTGTTCGTGCGCCAGCTGGTCCGGCCACTGCTCTCAGCGCTAGTTCTCGCGACCATGACAACAGCCCAGAATTACGGCTCCGTCGTAGCCATAGGGACTCCGAGTTCAGGCTCGTCCTCGTCGGCTACTAGAACCTCAACATCGACTGGTATCGCGACTCATACAATTCAAGTTGGACATAAGTTAGATCCGCATCAATATTTACCCAGCAGCATTACCGCCAATGTTGGGGATATCGTCACCTTCCAATTCTATCCCACCAATCATTCGGTCGTGAAAGCAGACTATCTCGCGCCATGTGTGCCAGCTAGTGGGGATATCTTCTATTCGGGAATGTTTGACACGTTCAATGAAGTGGATGGACAACTCGTCGGGGACGTGAGTCAAATGAACCATCCATACCAACAAGATCGATACTGACGATAAGGATAGGCTCCAACTTGGTCCCTTAGGGTAAATGACACTAAGGTGTGTAGTCGATTTGAATGCGCCTTCTACTGAGACAGGACCCCAAAGCTAACTTTCCTGTCCGTAGCCAAGCTTTTTCTATTGTACCGCCATAGACTCTTGTTTGAAGAATGGTATGGTTGGCGTGATAAATCCGGTATGGCGCCCAGATTTTGTCGGCATTGATTCAGACTGACACAAATCGGTAGAATTCGACTGAGACATTTACTTCACAATACAAGAAAGCACTTGACTATCCTTACATGCTAGTCCCCGGGCAATCCACGCCCGCTGAAGGCGGGGGTACTTCAACAGAAACAAGCACAAGCTCAACCACAAGCGCAACAAGCAGCGACAGCTCATCCGGCAAACACGGCCTGTCCACCGGAGCTATCGCAGGTATCTCCGTCGCAGGAGTAGCATTCGTGGCAATACTCGTTGCGCTATTCTTCGTCCTCGGTCGCAATCGTGTATATTCCCAGTGGATGTCCTCTCAAGACGGACGCACTGAGCGAACGGCACGGTGGGCACTGTTCAACTCGGACGTCCATAGCAACAGCAACCGCAAGAGTGAAATGTCCAGCAGTACCACGAAACCCGCCCACATTGATATCAGTGCTGTTTCCAGCCCGGATCCGAATGTGCGTACATTTTCACCGGTGCCGGAGAATATCTCCTCACATGGATCTCCGTCAACACAGCAGGGTCATTGGAGTTGGAATGAGCCGCCGCCAGCGCACCGCCCGCATCTGGTACCAACGGAGTTGGAGGGTCATCCTATGATTTACGAGGCACCGGGTCATAGTCGATTTCCGGATAACAATCGATCTTGAGATGTTCTGGGAATGTAGGAGCTAAAGAGTTTAGATGACTAGGTTGAGAGGTCAGTGCGAGTGTTTTTGGGTTCCTGTGGTGTTGTGGTGTTGTGGGTGTCTTTTGCTTGATTTGGATACGTGTTTGAGGCTGTTCTGTTTATATAGTGATACCTATGGTTCCTTTCCTGTTTTGTTATAGCAAATAATAAGCTGCGTTTTACACTCCATCGTCACCAAACTTCCAGGTGAGTATAACCTATCATCCATAGTTTCCGCTACTTTTGCTTGTCTCTTCTTCATCTCCTTTCTGCCCATTTTCAAGTGCTGAAAGTAATAGGACGATATCCACTGGTGGTGCGCTGCCCAGCTGGTCAAACATTTAAGAGAATTGATTCTATGCTAATGAATGGCTAAGTCTGTTTATATAGATCGTTGTATAGGAATTGCGATGTACTGATATCCAAGATCGGGTAATGTACAGTTCCTGTACATTACTAAACAATTCACGCGAAATTCTGAAGATTCAGCGCCTCGTATAATACAAGGATCATGTGGGGTGGTATTACCGCCCCATCCAGCCGATTTCGGCTTCCGCGAGCAACTTCAATAAAGCTCATCCGAATTTATTGCCTAAGCGAACCATGCCGCCGACACCACGCCGTGGTGCCACACAAGGTAACTGGAACTCTTCTCAAGGAGGTTATTAACTCGAATAGCTAACTAATAGTGCTTTTACTGTAAATTTCCCCTAGTACCGGTAGCATATGATATCAAAACACTCGCGACAAACGCGGTAAGTTACTGTTGGTTGATTATATAAAAATCTGGAGAGTTCTTCCTAGACAAACAGGAGGCTGGCTCTTTAGCTAGGTCTCTTTGCAAGCGTTTAATAGTCAGCGGTGTTTTCCTATACTAAGCAAAAGACCCCCTTTTACCACCCTCCTTCCTTGCAATTACTCAAACAGTCTCAAGTTCTAGGTCAGAATCGTGTGACGGTGCCAACCCAATACTTGGTCCTTCCAAGGTTGTTGCAGGCGAGGGGGGTGATCCGCTGACTGCAACCTTATAATGACGGCACTATAATGCATATCTCAAGGAATCTCTTTAGGGAGGCTGGGCTGAAAAGGTAGGAAGTATTATTCAAAAATGATATCATATAACACAGGCTCCAAACGGTAAATCGCTTTTATGTTCCGACAAAGGCCCGAGACCAATAAAACAAAGAAAAGTTTACTCTACATCAACAGCATCGGTGATACAGCCCTGGCTGGCATCCCGGACGGTTCTGTGACCCATTGTTAGCGGGTATTCTAGGATAATATAACGAGAAAACTTACCTAGCGTATTTGCCAAGGGTACCGCGCATGGTGAGACCGGTCTCAGGGAGCTGGCCGGCAGCCTTGCGGGCCTCCCAGTTCTTGCGACGCTCGGCGATCTCGCTCTCGGGGATTTCAACATCAAGGACACGCTTGTTAGCATCGATGGTGATAACGTCACCGTCGTTGACCAGACCGATAGGACCGCCAACGGCGGCTTCGGGAACAATGTGACCGATCAGGAAACCGTGGGAGCCACCGGAGAAGCGACCGTCAGTGATAAGAGCAACGGAGTTGCCGAGACCGGCACCCATGAGGGCGGCAGAAGGCTTGAGCATTTCTACAGAGGTTGTTAGTGGAGTCAAAATAAATCAAGTTGATAATCGTCACGCACCAGGCATGCCAGGTCCACCCTTGGGACCGCAGTAGCGGATGACAACAACAGTCTTCTCATCCTTCTTGATCTCCTCGCGCTCCAGAGCGGCGATGAAGTCATCCTCGCTGTCGAAGACACGGGCCTTTCCGGTGAAGGACATACCCTCCTTACCGGTGATCTTTCCGACACTTCCGCCAGGGGCGAGAGATCCACGGAGAATTTGAATGTGACCAGTCTCCTTGATGGGGTTGGAGAAGGGACGGATGATCTTCTGGTCATCGGGGAAGCCGGGTAGCTTCTCGAGGTTCTGGGCCATGGTCTCACCAGTAACGGTCATACCAGAGCCATCAATGAGGCCCTCCTTCAGGAGGAGCTTCAGGAGAGCGGGGGTTCCACCGATGGCGTGCAGGTCAGCCATGACGTACTTGCCGGAGGGCTTGAGGTCAGCCAGGAAAGGAATGCGGTCAGATACAGCCTGGAAGTCGTCGATGGTGAGCTTGATGCCAACGGAGTCAGCAATGGCGATCAAGTGCAGCACAGCGTTGGTCGATCCACCGGTGATGTTGACAACGACCATGGCGTTCTCGAAGGCCTGACGAGTGAGGATGTCACGAGGGCGGATGTCCTCAGCGAGCAGCTTCTTGATAGCGCCACCAGCAGCGAGACACTCAAGGTACTTGGCCTGCGAGTTGGCAGGGTTGGAGGAAGAGCCGGGAAGAGTCATACCCATGGTCTCAATGGCCGAGGCCATGGTGTTGGCGGTGTACATACCACCACAGGCACCCTCACCAGGGCAGGCGTGGCGGATGACGTCGAAACGCTGGGGCTCGGTGATCTCCTTGGTGATGAACTGACCGTAGGCCTGGAAAGCGGAAACGATATCGATATCGGCGTTGTTCTGGGTAACGGCGCAACCGGGCTTGATAGTACCACCGTAGACCATCAGACTGGGGCGGTTGACACGACCCATGGCCATCAGGACACCGGGCATGTTCTTGTCACAACCGGGAATACTGATGTTGGCATCGTACCATTGTCCACCCATAACCGTCTCCACGGAATCGGCAATCAGGTCACGGCTCTGCAGAGAGTAACGCATACCGGAGGTACCCATACTAATGGCATCACTGACACCGACGGTGTTGAACTGGAAACCAATCAAGTCCTGATCCTGCACACCCTGGCGAACCTTGTTGTTCAGGTCGAGCAAGTGCATGTTGCAAGGGTTACCGTTGAACCACACTGACGAAATTCCGACCTGGGCCTTGTTCATGTCCTCCTCCTTGAGACCGACCGCGTACAACATCGCCTGGGAGGCACCCTGGGACTTGGGCTGCGTGATGTGGCGTGAGACCTTGTTGAGGGCCTTGTCATTCTGGAAGCGGGGGATGGTGGTCGAGAGAGTCCGGCTAAAGAGTAATGTACAAGTTAGTAACCGTTTGAAGCAACTGACAGATGGACTCACGCAGTCGCGGTGGACCGGGACAAGCTCCGGAGAGCGGCGGGCATGCGCGCCCGAGTCTGAGGCAGCATTTTGATTGATATAAGGATCTAATCTAGAGACAAGTCTGTACTAGATATGATCAATTGAGTCAAAAATCTGGAGAAGGGAGGGGAGCAAGAAATAAAAGGCGGGAGCTTAGGAAGATCGGAGTTTGAGTCCTCCTCCCCGGCGCCCCACCACCCGGCGGCGACCAATTGTAGGCGGCTCGTTGTCATCTGCATAACAAGCATAAACTGCCGAACTACATCGAGACGGTATTTGGGTTCAATTTCGGTGTACAATGGCTTCAGTCTGAGCCAATCTTGCTTACGAATATTACAATAATGTTGTGAGCTACGGCGATTGCTACATCCTAAAATTGACACCATGACTCGAAGTAGGCCATGCATACATGGCTAAATAAATCATGTCTTTATGCTTCTTGGACAGGTGGTACGGTATGTACGGCTTTATATTTACTTCAAGTAAACAAATATCTAGTAGCTCCTCGGCAGCTCAAGGACCTTCTCGCTGACATAGTTCAGAATCATCTCCCGACTGACGGGCGCAATGCGAGGCACAAAGCACTCGCGCATATACCGCTCAACATCATACTCCATAGCATAACCCATACCGCCATGGGCCAACACTGCCCGCTCACAGGCTGTGAAGGCGGCCTCTGCGGCCAGATACTTAGCACTGTTGCATGCCACGCCGATTTCGTGGAAGGGGACCGATCTATCGTTGGCGTCATACAATTTTGCGGCGTGGTAAGTTGCTAACTTGGCGGCCTCCAACTTCATGTATGCATCAGCTAAAGGGTGGGAAACACCTTGGTTCTGGCCGATCGGTCGTCCAAATACCACACGGTCCTTTGCGTACTGCGAAGCCTTCTCCAGAGCAGCGTAGCCCAATCCGAGAGCCTCGCCTGCAAGAAGACAACGCTCGGCGTTCATGCCATGAAGAATGATCTTGAATCCATCGTTTTCACGGCCAATTAGGGTGTTGGCGGGGATCTTATAGTTGTCGAAGAAGACCTCATTGGCATCCACGGCACGTCCACCCATCTTCTTGATTTTGCGCAGATCCAGTCCAGGGTTCTCGCGGTCGATATCAATACAGAATATGGAGAGACCCTCGGTCGTCTTCTTGACTTCTTCGAGGGGTGTAGTCCGGGCCAAAAGGATCATCTTCGATGCGACCTGCGCACAAGTGATCCAAATCTTCTGACCGGTAACAGAGTAGCCATCGTCGGTCTTCTTGGCGAGGGTCTTGAGCTTAAGGGTCTCCAAGCCTGTGTTTGGTTCAGTCACACCGAAGCACGTCCGCCATGTGCCATTGATGATGTTTGGAATCGTGGTTTCGAGCTGCTCCTTGGTGCCGAACTTGGCTAATGGCTGCGTGGCATACACATTTGCGTGGATAGCCTGGGCACCGGCCATACCTGCGCCAGATTGTGTAATAGTTTGCATCATCATTGTAGCCTCAGAGATACCTAGTTAATAATTAGCAATATTTCTCGAAAATTCATATTTCGACGAGTGCTAATTTACCTAAACCTGCACCTCCGAGGTGTTCGGGTAGAGCAATGCCGAGCCATCCATCCTTTGCTAAAGCAGCGTGGAACTCTTTGGGATCTTTTTCTTGTTGGTCCCGCTCCTGCCAATATGTGTTGGGGAACTTGGAGCAAATATTTGAAATGGCCTCACGAACTGTGAGTTGTTCCTCTGTAAAGCCGGTCATACTCATGATGTCGCGGCTCCGCGATGTGGAGAAGGCCGCACGAGCTTGAAGGGAAGGCGAGGTCCGGCATGATGTGACTCTTAAGGGTGCAAGTCGCTGCGACCGCAGAGCCCGCTGACACTGTGAGCGATACATTGTTGCAACTGTATTTGGTATGTGAAAGAGCTTGAGTATTCGGTTGGAATATATACCCCGTCTGGGGGTGCCATATAGCCGATTCCAGGTCTTGGCGTCGGTGATCGGCTGCGTCGAACCGCCCCTCGGTTGCATAGGGACTTGAGTTAACTTATACACTAAAACTCATGTTTCATCCGCGATGAAATCATTGTCCGATTTTGCACATTTATCCACTGGTGGTGGAAATTCTAAATAGCCGATTGAAGTGTATGATACTTGAACCACATCAAGGATGTATATATTGTTGGTGGGCCTACCAAACTCGATGCGTGTCAATCTTAGGACGTAGTTGAGGAGAATAATTATGGGGACTTCCTATACGACACATATTCTCGATGTGGAACACAAAGATAGATTTGTGGATTAAAATGGTGACCTTGTTATAACGTTTGCTTAAATTCTGTTTCTCGGTTCGGGTTAGCAACTCAGTTCTTTATTCCCCCTGACTTGAAGTCTGAGAATCTTCTCTTCCCACATCACTTCGTTTCTCTAAGAGTTCGAATCTGCGGACGACTTGCAAAGTGGCATAATAGCTGAATGGCAACGCAATAAACCACAACCCCAGATTGATGCTTGCCGTGGCAATCAACGCAGTCGGCACAGCCTGCACACCAAACCCAACCGCGACAGCAGCAGTCTCGATTCCTCTCAACAATGAACTGTATCGAATCTGATCACCAGGTGAATCTGAAAGATTCGAAATGCACCAGTAAATATAATTCTCGACCAGTGCCTGACTGATGCGCTCAAAGAGGTACAGTCCAAACCCACGACCGAAGGTTCGTTGATTCTCCCAGTCCAGGACAGGGTTGGTGTGTCGATACTCGTTCTGGATAATCACAGCCCAGATCCAGGTTGCGCTATTCATCATCGCGATCAGCGTGAATGTGACGACAGCCCGATGCTTTCGACTTTTCAACCAGGGCAGGTCAACCAGTGAGCCACCCAGCCAGGTCGCAAGTGTGCCGACGACCGCATTCATGAAACTCCCGAGTGCTCGCGAGCGAACAGTAAAGTATGTCGCGAGATATGTGCCTGGGTATGCTTGGAGCCACCCAAAATACCAGAATAGGGGCACGAGGAGGAGAATGGATTTACTCCTCAGCAGCCGCCACATCGCGCGTAGTTCTTCACGCCAATGTATGCCCCGAGGTGCCTCAATACGTGTTCCATCATCTCGCTGGACCTTCTCAGGGTTGGACAAGAGAAGACCAAAGAATAACCCGAGACATTGAATGGCAATGAATGCGAGATACGTCTGGTACCCAACCTGGCCTCGGTGATTAACTGAATGATTGATGCCGAGAGAGACAGCACCACCAATGATATTTCCAAAATTGCGAAAGGTGAACCATGTCGCAATGTACCGACCACGCTTGTGGCTCTCAGGATAACCTGTCGCGACGGCACCTTCAACACTCCAGAAAAAGCCAGCGCTGATTCCACAAGTCACTGAGCCGAAATACACCAGCCAGGTGGCACCACTGCGATTATTGAGATAGAGACCCGCGGCGTATAGCGGGTATCCAATTGACCCAAGCGCGAGAGTATACCGGAATCCGATAGCATTGGTGATCCAAGGGCCGGCAAAACAAGTTACTGTCATAAAGGCGTATAACAAGGCATTGGCAGCGTTGACCAAGTCAGGGCTTTGGGATCCGCCCACACCCAGGCCATTCATTGCGGACCAGATTCCAGGGGCGCAGAATGCACACGTTCCCACGATTAATATTTGGAACAGTGTGCTGTAGAAGAATTTTGGGCGAGATGGTAGTTGCTCATCTTGACTTTCGACCACCCTCGCAATGTTAGATATTGCTTCTGGTTCTGCCTTCGAGGATGATGACATGATTGTGCGACTTTCCTGCAAAAGATATACAAGAAGCAGATCCTGTTAACTTTCAATTAACAGCCCCAAGCAAAAGCCATACACAGGGCTTTTATATGGGTAACTTAGCCCGAGGTATAGCGGGATGTTGCCCAGACAAGCACGCAAGATGTACGCGCATGGCATAATACTAATATACCTTGGCAATAAGTAATGAGTCAATAAATGCCTCGAAAGGCACATTGTATCACCAATCAACAAGGATGATCCAATAACCTTCAGCCACTTTGGTGCAGGTGAGGGGTTATGGTCTCAACTACAAATGGGCGATATCTTCTTACCTCTTATCACTACCCTTTAAAATTGAAGACAATATGACAACCGCGGCCGAGATACAGGTTGAAAAGCTCCAGTTGAGAGGTCCGTCATTTGCCCTCACCCGATTTGAGCCCTTTGAGCTACCATCCTCCAACCAACGTACCCTCGGACCACCGCATCCTAGGAATACTGTTATCCCGCTTGCGTTACGTCCCGAGCAAGGTGCCAAGCCAAGTCTTGATGAAGTAGTGGATACAATAAAGTCGCTTCAAGCAGATAAGGGCATATATACGGAGAAGCTCGCGCGACATGGCACTCTCTTGTTCCGCAACCTGCCAATCCACAACGCAGAGGACTTCAGCAAATTCGCGCACGCCTTCGGATACAAGCCCCATGAAATTATCGGGATCGTAGTCGATAGACCACTTCTCGCGCCGAACGTGGCACCAGCCAATGAAGCTCCAAAGGAGGTGTTGATCTATAACCACAACGAATCACCTCAGGTACCACATGCGCCCGAATATATATTCTTTTATGGCCATCGCGCTCCAAACAAAGGTGGCGAGTCGCCCATATCCTCTTCCTTGGAGCTATTCCACCGGGCTCAGCAAGAGATCCCAGAGTTTATGGACGAGCTAGCGGAGAAGGGGATTCTCAGCAGAGTCACCTATAAGGTAGAAAGGCAATACCAAGGCGGGTCAACTCTTCGCCAAGCGTTTGGAAAAGAAATTCGAGATGGTGACAACGAGGAGACTAAACGAAAGAAGATTGAGGCTCAGATTGCGCGCTATGGCAGAGGGAAACATACCACGTGGGAATGGACTGATGATGGACTCGTTCTCACGCACCGATTACCTGTGATTCGTACCCAGCAGAAGACAAACCTGCCAACGCTGTTTAGTGGATTGGCAGCATACTGGAAAAGAGCGCAGAGTGATATTGAGGCACGCACGAAGGTAACGCAGCAGCTCTTTGGTGATGGAACGCCTATCCCTGACAAATACCTTGCGCATCTGGCCAAGATTACGGATGAGATTCGGGTGCTGCATCGTTGGCAGGAAGGCGATGTCTTGGTATATGATAATACCATTGCGCAGCATGGCCGAGAGCCATGGGAAGGCGAACAGTCCGACCGAGTCGTTATGGCGAGTTTGTTTGATGGGGAGAGTGTGCCAGGAGCTTATGGCTTTGGCGACTGGGCGCAAGTTGTGCAAGCATTGGATTGATCTTCGAGATTGAAACTCTCTTTTTCTGCTGCTCGTTACCATGACATGTATTACTGTTCATCCAACCGCCGGGTATCTATCGTCTAAGATTGATCTACGATCTATGCTCTATGTTTTGTCGTGAACATTATCTACTCCTTCACATCAGTCGTGAAACCGTGCTGGATCAGATACTCCTTGAGATCCTTGTCCTCTTTCTCCAAGTCCAACTCTCCACTTTCAGGCAGCAAGTAGTATACCATCATTCCAAGGATGGCAACACCTCCAGCCAAGTAAAAAGTGGAGCTGTTACCGGCATGTTCCTGCAAGGGGGTGAAGCATTGTGTTCCGACTGCAGCGCCCGTTCTGCCAAAGGCTGTCGCAACGCTGTATCCCATGGAACGCATAGCAGTCGGGAAAGACTCGGATGAGATAAGCCCAATTGTAGCACCTGGTCCCATGTGGCCGAATGCTTGCAGCAAGCCGTACAGAACAACGAATGCTGCAATGTTCTGGGAAAGCTTGGTATAGGTTCCGCCAATGACAAAACCGAGAACCACGTAGCCTGCGAAGCCCAATATACCGGTCCAACGCCGTCCAATGGCATTTGTGAGCCAAGCCCCGACTACAACACCGGGAACTGGAAGCACTGCTAGAATGACCTGCCAGATGGCAGTGGTCCGCACATTGTGATCCTTGACAAGCGACGAGATGATCGTGCTGGACATGATGCTGTTCGGGAAGTTGATAAAATCATATAGAAAGAAGGCCAGTGATGTTGTCAACAGTCTCCACCAGTATCGCTTAGCCAGGAGAAGGTAAAGGCGAAGTGATTTAGGCTGGCGTGTAAGGTTGGAATAGTGGAAGAGTGACGAGTCAACCATGAAAATCCGGAGGATAATAATTGCAACTGGTAGGATAGTTGCAATGGAGTAAATCGCATGGAAAGCGATGATGAGGTTGTTGTCACTGGCGATCAGTGTGATTAAGTAGATGATCATCAGGATCGGACCGGCGAGGGTAGCCATCAATGTTGTAAAGGAAACAAACATTGGACCGCGATATTTTCGCATGACCTAATAAATTAGCAAAGAACAAGAACTAGGAGGCTAGAATACTGACTTCATCCGTTTCTTCAATACCAGCTGCCGCACTAGGAGGGTATTCACCCCCGACGCCGAATCCAGCAATACCACGAACAACCACAAAATACCATAGCATGTTGCCCGAGGGATGCACCTGAAGAGCCAGCGCCGACATCAATGTGCCAATGGCCACAAGTGAGGAAGTGAACAGCAATCCCGCCCGTCGCGAGAACATATCAGATGTGTATCCGAGGGCGACAACACCGAGGATAGCACCGACCAGCAGAGAATTGCTGATTCGCGTCTTCATTTCAGAGGAGTACCCATCGGAGCCAAGCACTTGCTTGAAGATGACATTGGTAGGATTAGCGAGGGTATTTTGGAATCCATCGCTGAAGTTGGCAATATACTAGAAAAGTTAGCAAGACAATAGCGTTTACAATCTTGGTAACCCGACTTACGCAACTGATAATTGTTGTGTTGCTCTGCCATCTGCGAGGGCGGTACGAATGAGTCGTGACTTCTTCGACATCTCTGCCGTTGACAAGAGTCTCAGACTTTTTCGTCTCGTCTCGCTGGTGGCCTGGTGTCCCACTCTCGACGACCGCCATGATCAGAATTTTGCAGCGAACAAGGGAACACAAAGATGTATTTTCATACAGTTACGGAGTCATGCGATGCTTTATATTAAATTTCCCGACAGATAACATTCAATCGAGGTCCGCGACGCGCGTGACCCCACGGCGGAGCAAATGTGATTTTTCTTCCGCGGAGATAAGCATTGTGGATATGTAAACATAATATGGTCCACTCCGGGGCTAAACTGAGGACGTGTTGAGAGAATGTTAGCTTTGGCTCCAATGTGCATTGAACTCGAAGCGGTTTTACTCCATCGGTCACCCAAAGATACTACATTTTGCCCCCGTGCTTCATTTATATTTCCCCAAGTTTGAACGACTACGTACGAAAAGACATATGAATTGACTGAATGAGGTAATGATCATCATTGAGGAGGGACCTCATCATACCATCCTAACTGAAAGGCACCCTGCTTGATATAATGGGGATCGAGGGACGAAAGCTGGCTATCAAATTGGCTCAGAGTATCCGTTCAGGAACTGCTCAACACTACAAATATCACCAATACCGAACATTCCATCTAATATTGTTGTGCAAAAACGTAGACTATAACTCGCTGCGCCAATTGGAAGATAAAAGCTCTACACTCTTCACCTTGACACCCCATAATTCTGCGAAAAATACACACAAACCCAAGCGTAGACAACTGAAATCACAAATACGATTTTCAAGTTCGATATACTTCTTCTCATTCCTTAGTTCAGCGGCCTGTTCCGGTCCATACTTCACATTGACCTGATCTAGAATGGAGACCTTGAAGTCCCTTACCTCGGGGTCCTCATCAATCATCTTCACACTGATTGTGGTCAGCTGAAGGATGTGTCTGATGGCATCCTCGACGCGAAGAGAAATCTCGGGACTAGTCAGAGCAACTTCCATACAACTTTCGTATCGTAAACTTTAGAGTAAATCTCAGCTGCCACCATTTTGGCCTCAATCACGCAGTTCGGCATCCGTTGACTCGCACGATATTCTGCCTCGAGCTCCGCAAATTCCCTGCCAAGTCGATCGCCCATCCCTGACATGCACTGCAGGTCATACTGCTTTTCCTGCATCCGGGCTTCAAATCCTGGGAGCTAGAATGCCAGGGTGCTGTAGCGATTTCCGAACGTTTCCCTCGGGTCGGTAACGAAAAGTTGCTGGAAGCCCGACCGCAGTAATGGATATCAAGAATTGCACCAAAATTTATGAAACGCAGAGACAGGGTAGCTAACGTACCAGGTCATCGTATTCTCTGATTCTACTTCTCTACGAATACACATATAGACAGTCTGCAGTCAATCATCTTAGAGATTTCTATCGCGATCTAGTTAGTTAACGCACCGTCGAATCGATGCTCATAAATGCCATCAAATCCAGGCCACAATGCCAAGCCAGGACAGGTGGGGCTTGAGCCTCTGACCTCCTGTCAATACAACACAACAGCACATCTTGGGAAGCCACAAAAATTGATGCAGCTCACCTTCTCTTCTCTCCACTATTCTTCCGCCGGGTCGTCATTTCATTGCCTGCGGTCCCAAACTACCACCCCTCACCTCAAGAGCCCCACCATCGGAGGCACCTCACAATGGGCGCATCAAACTCCATAGCTCAAACAGTAACCTCCGCGACTGGGGCCATGTCAGACGCGTTTTATCAAGACGATCCATATTACCCCAGGCACTCAGAAGATGCAATCGCCGTTCTCAACATCCTTCGGCGACGGCTACCTTCCGAACTCGTCTTAGAGGTCCTAGAATACGCCCAATATTGGGTTCGCTCGGAAGCCTATAGAACGGATAAACTAGGTTTTACGGAAAATGACTGTCGGGAAGGAACTCCATATTTGACATCCGAAGCCATTCAAGGTGATCGGTTCCCCGTTCGAGAGATCAAAATCGATATCTGGAGTCATGACCAAGGATGGAGTAGCTATCCTGCAGATTATGGTACCTACCGGAATTCTTGGACCTGGTTTGATCTTGACATTGCAAGGCCCCCGGGCAGAGATGATATCGCCCAAGGAGAGGACCTTCGATTGATGACAAATATCCATGCATCCAAAGACGCAACGCATCATCAGATCGTTTACCGAAGTGATCAAAACCTGCGCTGGATGAAAAAACTTCAAGCAGGGGACCGGCTATCAATAATACCCCGGGCGCGCTTTCCGGGATGGAAAAACTTCGTGGATGAGGCTTCTATTGAGATTTATACGGATCCTGTTTTGTGATCTTAGCAGTTACTTCACCTAAACTGGCAGATTCCTTGGTCTGTTTATGTAATGTTTGTAATAAGGAGAGTATGCGCCTACTTAGAGTGAGGTATCCTCCAATTTGGGATCAAAACTCCCTCGCAAGTGGCTGGGCGATGTCGGTATCAGTAGCCAATTGATATCCAGTGGCCCGAGTTAACTATTGCACGTCGAGATACCATCACAAATGAAGCTACGTTCAAGTTTCTCCACTAACCACAATTGAAAAATCCCAGCACGGGTACCCAGGTCAACGCAGTCCTTTTTCACAGCAGGGCCCCAGAGCTTATAAAATGATTGAGTCCGGTGAAACTGGACGCCCTGCAGGTCAGGTGTCAAATTCTTCCTATCTTCAAGCCAGCGTTGAAACAAATCTAGAACATCTGAATTTGTCCATTGAAATTGTTCATCGTCCATCATATCGCTCGTGAGTATAAGCCACCTTAAACCTTTTGGCAGAGCGTCCTCGATACGAACCGAATACCATTCATCTCGGGAAAATCCAACCAAGGAAGCACAGCGCCTAACCCGCACAGCGCCACGAGACAACCAGTACCGTATTTGCACGAAAATATCACATTTTCCCAAGCAGCCCACTTCGTAAAAACGGAATATTAACTCCAAGTACAGCCCCGTCAGTCTGGTTGACCTTGAAGACAACCCGGTCGAGTGATTTGCCACCATAATAGAGCCAGTCGATGGTTTGCCAAGAGGAGCACATCTTCGACAGTTTCCCCTGTCCTGGCAGATCGGTAATAGCAGCGTTGTCAGAGGGCACGATATCGAAGCTGATTCGCCAGTCCTGAAGGACCACACCATCTTCGCCTTCGGCTACTCGTTCGATTTCAGTTGGGTAGATGCGCATATCTGGATTCAAAATCCCAACTTGGGGCAGAACTGCGGCCCAGATCTTTTGGATACCTCCCAGTATGTCAGATCCGCTTCTTGTTAGGGAGTCTATCTTGATTCCTGTTCCGTTGTCCATGGATAGCACTAATTTGGGGGAAAAGTCTGGGTCCGCTGTTTCTGTGCTGATAGAAAACACAGGAGCGAAGGTTCCAGTATATCGCTCGGCCTGTCGACGAGCTTCCGAGTCAATCGCAGGGATGAGAGTTGAGATGATGGCTTCGTTGAGGATCGACGCAGTCGGCGCTGCTCTTGGACCCGCAGTCAAAACAACAAAGCCAGCTCCATACTGGTCGACCACCGAAAATTGGGCCACATAGCCCGATGCACCTCCACTTTTCGCAAATATGTCGACGGTGTGTGGATTTTCGGGTACTAGATTCTCTGTTCGCTGTATCTCCCATGGTCGACCAACAAGATTGTTAATTGAAGATGTCATTGACTGTGGCTTAAGCCATTGGCGAACTTCGTCTGGGGTATCGAGTATAGTGTAGTCTAAGATTCTGCTCATCAAAATTGAAAGGTCGCTCAGAGAAGAATAGAGGCCACCTCCTCTGGATATTGGTTAGCTTAGAATATGACAAACAGGAGTTGATGATCTTCATACGGGGCATTGGCTCCATAATCTGCTCCCCATCCTTGCTCCGCAGCAGGCAGAGGAGGAATAACGGCTGGTTCATATATTCCTGGGGATACACCCGTGTTTGTCAGACCGAGCGGACCAAATAATGTTTCATTTAGCATCTGTCTGTACGTTCTGCCGGTTTGGGACTCCAAAACTAAACCAAGTAGCGTGAAAGCTGCAGAGGAATATATTGGCTGGCCGTAGGGTGGCTGCACAGGCAGAGCACTGCGCATCATTTCAAGTATCTCTGATCCAATGTCAGTCAATCGGCAATAGGTCTGCCACAATGCATCCATACGTGTTTGATTGCATGCGCGGTTGAGGCCTGTTACTCCACATGGTGGGTAGCTTGCATTGCTAATAACAGGAAACCCAAGCTGCTCGTAAGCTGAATGCAGAAAATAGTAATCGAACGATGAAGCTAACGTAGTTCAAGTCAGCAAGGGCTAATGCAATGCTGTATGTTTACTTACGAAGATTTGCAGGTATTCCTGCCAAATGGTTTGACAAAGCCGAGAGGGTGATATTGTCCCACTGGATCAGCGACTGAGTTCCCTGAAGAGTCGGTAAATATTTGGTGATAGGGTCATCCAAATTGATGTTTGACTTCAGTAGCAGAATGTCTGTGAACAACTTGGACACCGATCCGATCAAATACTGCGAATTTTCATCGGCGACCTTGGTTCCGTTCACATTATTCTTCCCAAGGTGATGGTATGACCAAATAAGGCCACTGCGTGCAAGAGTTGCGTTCCCCTTCTGTGGGGATATGAATCCGATTGAAAACGAAGTTTGGTCCACGTCAAAGCCGGCCTTTATCTTTCCAGCTAAAGCATCGTCAAGAGCCTGACTCAGGTTTGCCGTTGCATCCTGAATAATTTTAGCTTTCCCCAGATCGGTTGGACGAGGCACAAGTGGCCCATATGGAACGCAGCCGCTCCATGGGGAGAGAGGTGTGGGAGGTTGGATTGCATCCGCGAGGCATATAGCAGAGACTAATGTAGAGGCGACGGCTGATGTTGAAAGTAAATGCATGATGATTGTGTGATAGTACTTGCAGTACCAGACGCAAGTACACGACGAAGGCCTTATTTATAAAGTAGCAAACTCACCAGATCTATACTAGCACTGCATGTATGATGTAACCGACCTTCCACGTTCATACCCGTTCGTACTCGTCAACTGGTGTCATCGAGTCATTTAAGGTTTGGTTCGTACTCGCTTGTCGATCCTTCCCAATATGGTTAGCCTTATTTGTGTTCCAAGATTCAGGCAGAATCAGGTGTCAAGTTTCTGTCGCAATTACCTTACGAATACTGCATGAAACCGGGTCTATAGATGATCCGTCGGCATAGCTTATGTAACTAGAATGGACCCATAAATGGCGAGAAATAGGGGTAATGGAAATACAGAGTCATTTACACCTCCAATTGGACGGATACAGTACAGATCGTGACAGTTATGAGCCCGGTTCGCACCTATTAGGAATTCATTTGCTATCATCCTTGAAGCTATTCGCAAGCTAAAAGGTCCAGAAAGCATCTAGCAGACTTCCTGACCCCTGAATCCCTTCGATCCCTACTATCCAACCATCTCGTAGGATCCTTGCTTCATCGCTAGAAGCAGCGTCCACAATGGAGACGGCGTCAATGCTCTCCGCCCTGAAGGGTGACAAACTGAAAGACTCGTCACAATGGCGAGCATGGCATAAGAGGATAAGGGCATTCGCAATGAATCGGACCGTCTAGGACCTTTGTAACCCTAACACCGATGAAGCCTATCGTCCGAAGGCTCTGAAAGAGCTATAGGAACCTAAGTATCCGCTAGAAGCGAATACGGAGGCTAAAAAGGACTGGAGAGACCTCTTAGAGGTCTACAAAATTGGAGCTAACCGCTGGGAGAAGTAGCGGAAAGGCCTTAATGAAGTGAATAAGTATATCATCACCTTCGTGGATAGCAGTCTCCGTGACGTAGTCCTCGAATTCGACACCCCGTATGACCGTCTAGTCTATCTAAAGACTAGGTTCGCGCGTACGCCCGCGTTTAAGGAGGAAATTCGGATACAATAGAGAGCTTTCTCGACCGTAAAACCTACTAGAGATATCGAGAAATGGCTTGCTTTGTGGACCGAGCTAAGGCAGCAAGTAGTTAGTCTCTAGCTTCCTAAAGTCGAAAGCGCCAATTAGGACTTCCTATAAGTAGTCAAAGAGGTCTTACCAATCTAGTGGCAAGCAAAATATTAAGAGATAGTGATGAATGGAGCCTCGTACAACACTTAGGACTTAATTGAGTCCTTTAGAGGCCTATATCGGGAAATTGGACTATTAGAAGCATCACAGCCACTAGCGTTAAAGGGGTCTTTCTCCACTTAATAGGGTTATTAGGAAGCAAGAAATAACTCTAGGAAGCTAAGGGAAGATATACCTTTCGATAAAAGACCTTGCCTATACGGCAATAAGTATCTAAAGCATTAATTCACTAACTGCTAGGTCGTTAATAAAGCAATTCGACCCGACGGTTACTAGCTAAAGAGGGAAAATCTCTAAAAAATGGAGAAAGCTCTATCGGCCGACCCAGTATGGAGGAAATAGATCAATGAAACTATCGAAAAAACTGTTGAAAAATCGTCAAAAATGCTAGCAAATGCCGTCTAATTACACCTAGGAAATACGTCCTTTTTAACCTAGGAAATTAGGTTAAAAATTGCTATCTTAGCACTTCATAACCGATGGATTCTTAACACCGGCTCCGGCGTCTATGTCTATAATGAGAGAAGCTGGTTCGTTAACCTCACGCCAGTAAAGGAAGCTCTCGTAATAGGAGATAGTAGTACAGCCGTTATTAGACGAGGGACGGTGAAGCTCACCGGCGCGGACCCGATATTAGGGCAAGAGAAGATTATCACCTTAAGCAATACTTACTACGCACCTAGGTTCCACGTTAACCTAGTATCGTACGCTAGGTTGCGAGAAAAGGGTGGTAAATAGTCTAAAGCTAAAGGGTATATCTAGGACCACTAGGGTATCCCTATAATTAGCTTGTATCTTAGGAAGCAGCACGGGTTATAGATCTTTGACTAACCTAATGAAGCTTTTTAGATCACTACTAATATAGTATCCTTGGCACTAAGGTAGGAAAAGGGTTTAATAGAGCTATGGCATCGACGTCTAGCCTATATATAGCCTATAACTCTTAAGTAGATGCTAAAAATGGTCGAGGGAGTGGTTATTAATAAGGAGGAAGCAACATCTAAGGCTATATACGAGATATACAGCCTAGGAAGGTCGAATCGATAAGTGTCTAGAAAGCCAATCGGACGAAGCTTCGGCCGATTCGGACGGGTACACTTCGACCTAATTCAACTTCCTTATTCTTATAATAAGTATCGATGGATCTCTTATTTTTACGTCGAAGGAATTAGGTTCCACTAGGTTACGACGTATAAGCTGAAACCTAAATGTTAGTAAGCTATTATGTAGTTCGTCTAACTAGCCAAAAATTGGTGGAACCTACCGATCAAAGCCTTTTATTATGACAATGAAGCTTCCGTAGGAAGGGTGTTAGAACGGAGTCTGATATCGGATGGCATTGTAGTCTATTATAGTCCACTAGGGCATCTAGAAATAAATGGATACGCCAAGAGAGTAGGGGGTATCATTATCGTACGTATAAGGATGCTAATGCTTAAAAGAAAGCTCCCGAAGGAGTTATAGCCGGAGGTAGTAATAGCAGCAGTCTAGCTGCTAAATCGGACGCTAACCTACCTCGCTAAGGAGAACCGCTAGGTAGTGCTATAGGACGAAGTCCGTAAGAGCTTTGCTACCGGCGAAGCTATTCCGAAGGTCAACCTATCGAATATTAGGTTATACGGAAGCCTTGCTTACTGCCGTATTGAAAAGTAAGTGTAATCGGATAAGATAAATCCACGCGCGGAGGTCGGTTTCCTAGTCGGCTATATAGTAGCAAATATCTAGAGAATATAGTTTCCTTAGCATAGAAAGGTTAGGTTAGTTAGGGACGCCGTATTCGATAAATCACGTCGATACGCACTAGGTTTTTAACCCTTTTAGCTAATTCTAATACCATTGGAAAAGGACCCGTAGGAATTAGACCTAGCGGAGGCTAAGAGAGTATTTCGGGCATCTATTATAACTAAAGAGACACCCGAATTAGAAGCAAGGGTCGATGGTAATACCGAAGAAGTAAGGGCTAGTGAAAATGCTAAGGAAGAAATATCAAGAAATGAGACTCCGCTAAGAGATGCTTTTTCGGCTAAGAAAGCATCTTATATAGTAAGCCGCTAAGGGGTGTACGATATACCTAGTAACTACCGCTTTGAACCTATATCGGTCCTCCTAGGCGTATTTCCGTAAGAAATTCCACTACCTCTGATACCTCCACGTGAATAAGAACCTCCTATAGCTCGTTAGGGGGTAGAGACGCCGGAAATACCGGCTAGGGACTAGCTCTAGGAGGCCTAGTAAGCAACCTAGGAGGTCTGGTAAGCGACCTAGGAAGCTTAGGAAAGTAGTGAATTAGACGATAAAGCTAAAGTATAGCTATAAGCGGAGCTAGCACTAAGAAAACTAGCTCTAAGAGACATCAACGGCGATCTAGATAAGGCAAATATTGTATCTAGATTAAGAAGAAGGTTAGCAAAACGGGATGATGCCTTCGCGTACGCTACTATAGAAGAACCCCTAGCCTTCCTCTATGTATTTATAGCGGCCCTATACGCGGAGAAGCTAATAAGACGTTATCGGGACGATCTACCTAATCCCCCGAAGTATTAGAAAGACGTTATGAATCACCTATTTTAACAAGGCTTCCTAGCCGCTATACGCAGAGAAATAGACTCTCTTATAGAGAAAGAGACGTATAAGGTGGTAGATCGTCTAAAGGACTAGGGAAAGTAGGTCTTGCCGCTACTATAGGTCTTCTTATATAAATTAGACTAGGACGGCTTCCTAGTTAAATTCAAAGCTCGTATTTGCGTGAGAGGAGACCTCGAGACAATTATATTAGAGGAAAAGAGGGCTATAACGCTAGTAGCTAGAACCGCGCGAATGATCTTCTCGTTAGTAGTAGCATTCGACCTAAATTTGAGACAGCGGGACGCTATAACAGTATTTCTTAATAGTAGGCTAGAAAAGGAGGTATACACTAGGATGCCGGAAGGTTTTGAGATGCTAGGAAAGTGTTAGAAGCTTCACAAAGCGCTATACGGGCTAAGAATCTCACTGCGCCTATAGTAGTAGGAAGTAGTAGAGGTTCTTAGCAAGCTAGGTCTAAAGTAAGCACCTAAAGACCTATACGTCTTTATTGGAGAAGGAATTATCGTCTTCTTCTACGTCGATGACATACTAATAGTAAGCTATCGGACGGCGGAGAGAAGAGCTAATTAGCTAGAAAGGGACCTCGAATCGCACTAGGAGCTTACTAACCATAGAGAAGCTGAATAGTTCCTAAATATACGTATTATTCGGAACCGGTAGGCGAAGAAATTATGGCTTTGCTAAGACAGCTATCTCATAAGCGTAGTAACTCGCTATAACCTCACAGACCGACCTCCCGTCTTAACCCCGCTACCGATCGAAGACCTAAAGCCGTATGAAGGTATCGTAAGCGCGTAAGAAATACACCTATATTAGCAAAAGGTCGGATCTATAGGATACGCTACCACGATTACCTAAGCCGATGCCGCTAAGGCAACTAGTAAATTGGCTGAATTCCTAACGAATCTAGGACCCTAGCACCACCGAGCCGTCGATCGAGCTATCACCTACCTCTATACCACCCGTTTCCTAGCAATCGAATATAATGCGGAGGTAGACATAGACTCAGTATAGCTAGCAAGCGATACATCATACGGTGATTATGTAGACCGGAAAAGCTCTGTAGGGTATATCTGCTAGGTCTACGGAGGACCTATAGACTAGAAGGCCACTAAGCAGCGGACGGTGACAACCTTAACCACCGAGGTAGAGCTTCTCGGTCTATCTGAAGCCGGCAAGTATCTCCAATGGTGGAGAAGACTGCTTGACCGAGTGGGCTTTGAGGCATCGCACGTCCTTACCATCGAATACGATAATGAAAGAGCTATTGGTCTGATCACTACCGACGATGCTAGCTTCGACACGAAGCTTAGGCATGTCGATATTCACTACCTCTAGCTGAGATAGGAAGTGAAGGCGGGACGCGTCGCCGTACGCTAGGTCCCGATAGCAAAAATGGTCGCTGATGGCCTGACGAAGCTGCTCTCACGGCAGAAGCATGCGAGCTTCGTCAAACTCTTGCGGATGGTCGAAATTGAGCACCTGGTCATGAAGGAATGACCTAAATTGAAGCAGATTCGCTGGTAAATGGCATTGACAGCGGCTTAGGATGGGATAGTGAGGCCGCTAAAGGGGTGTGTCGCAATTACCTTACGAATACTGCATGAAACCGGGTCTATAGATGATCCGTCGGCATAGCTTATGTAACTAGAATGGACCCATAAATGGCGAGAAATAGGGGTAATGGAAATACAGAGTCATTTACACCTCCAATTAGACGGATACAGTACAGATCGTGACAGTTTCAACTTCCCTGATGTTTGACTGCATGAAGGTATACACGAGTGAAGCTTAGCGCTTACTGAATGTTTAGTTAGAGATGATACGTCTATTGGTACACATTCTACGTCTCGGAAATTGGCGGGACAAATATGACGCCCACAGACTCCGAGCCAAACAAACCAGACCAAATGTATTGTGAAAACAACTAGTATTTACTTTCTAAGCTGCGCAATGATCAATATTATGCAATCTATTTTTACACATACAAGCAAACCATCAGTTCATTACCCGAAAACCTTCATGAATGTACTGTCCTAAACCGCGTTACACAAGTATCAGCCAACTCAAGGCTGACAGAAGCTTCCAGCTTGCCCACCTAATGGCATAATAGCGAAGGACGGCATTTGGACCCGAACCCCACGCGACAGGTGTCTGAGTCAGAATTGCGGATTCAGCTACATATGGCAGGCCTTGCTACTCGACTCGGTGTACTATCCGTGTATATCAGGGTCTAATATGCAGATGCACCAATTACGCACGTTTTTGATGTCTGAAGTCAGGGCCACGTTTCGTGATTGGAAATGTGTCCAGGGTCTGAGGTTGTGCTCCAGGTCACGTATATAACCTTTGTTTACGGAGGAATGCTGTTCGCTCAGTCAGATCATCACAACAATGAGTGTCCAGATCGCGTGGCTACGTTTTCTCGCCACTTTGATTACTCTGTTTGGAATTACAAATGGTCTGTCAATCGCAAATTCTTCAAACTCGTCTGTCTGTCGCTGCATGCCACAGGATTCATGTTGGCCAAATGACGACAGATGGGATCACTTCAATACGACCATTGGGGGTAAATTGATCGCAACAATTCCTATAGCCAGCCCATGTCACCTCGATCTATTCACGCCATACAACAAAACACAATGTGCCCAACTCCACTCGGATTGGGGCTTCCCAGCAACACACTATGAAACATCCTCGTCAATCATGGCATCCACATATACAAACAACAGTTGCAACCCATTCTCTCCAAAACATGTACCGTGTACGATTGGCAATTACATCCAATATGCAGTCAACGCAACTGAAGCTAGACATGTCCAAAAGTCTATCCATTTCGCCAAACGTCATAATATCAGACTTGTCATTCGAAACACGGGTCATGATCTCCTAGGAAAATCAACTGGAGCTGGAGCACTTGGTATCTGGATGCACCATATAAAGAATATCTCCATTGTGGACTACAACTCATCATACTATACCGGAAAAGCCATGAAAATAGGAGCTGGCGTTCAATCTTTCGAAGCCAGCTCCGCTGCTTCAAGAGCCGGTGTAGTGGTCGTTGGTGGCAATTGCCCAACTGTTGGCCTGGCAGGCGGGTATTCCCAAGGAGGTGGCCATGGCCAGTTAGTATCACAATTTGGACTTGCTGCGGATCAAGTTCTGGAATGGGAGGCTGTTCTCGCCGATGGAACACTGGTTGTTGCTTCTCCTTTTCAGAACTCTGACCTCTATTGGGCCCTTTCAGGTGGAGGTGGAGGAACATACGGTGTTGTCATTTCAATGACGAGCAAAGCCTATCCGGAGTTACAGACTGTTTCCGGGAATCTCTCTTTCTCGGATACGGGTATCTCCAGAGCGACATTCTTCGCGGGAGTAGAGATGTTTACTTCTCTTTTGCCTTCGATAGGTGATGCAGGAGGCGCAAGTGTTTGGTGGTTGACCAATAACTCCATGTCAACAACTCCAACTACGATCCCGCGTGGGACGGAAGCACTATACAACTCTTTATTCGATCCTTTGATCGGATTTTTCAAAAAGAACGGCATGCAGTATAGTACGTATGAAACCAGAATTATCGAAACGCAAATGCTAATACTATCGATATTCACAGCTTACTACGTCGAAGAATTCCCAACATTCCATGACGCCTATCAAAAGATGAACCCACCAGAAAATATAACTGACGAACTCCTCGGCGGCCGTCTCATTCCCCGATCAGTGGTGCAGCAAAACCTCACCGAGGTCGTATCAGCCTTCCGCGAAATTGTTGAAAAGGATACAGGTCTCGTAATATCAGGGGTTATGGTCAATTCCTCGCGCGTGGCTTACCCCAATAATAGTGTCAATCCAGCGTGGCGAGATGCTCTTATGAGTGTCGTGATGGGAGCGTCAGTTTAATCGATCTTCTTCCCACTACGGTTGATGTTGACTAATATCTTGATTTAGGTCTTTCAATTATACGGACTGGGATCGAAATGTTGCTAGGCAGCAGACCATTACTGACGTTCTCTTGCCGCCGTTGGAGAGGCTTACTCCTGGTGGCGGTGCTTATTTGAATGAAGCTGATCCGAATCAGATAGACTGGCAGCAGGCTTTCTATGGGGATAAGTATGCCAAATTACTCAGGATTAAGCGGAAGTATGATCCTCATTCTATCTTCTATGCATTTAAAGCTGTTGGGAGTGAGGCTTGGGTAGTTGCTGAGGGCGGGCGGTTATGCAGATCCAGAGATTTGTGAAAGTATGTAGATGCCCTTACTCGAAATTTAGCTAGAAAATGTTTTGGTTGTTATTGTTTTCCTATTTTAAATTGGTTTCATGCTTAGCATATCGCCGCTCGTGGTGGCGGAATTTCGCTAGGTGACATGACAGGGTAGAATGTAATTCTCGATGTGAGGAGGTAGCGATCCCTTTCACAGAGACCACCATCCCTTCTCAATGATAGTCTTCGAAAGGCCCCGCAATGCCGGGAACAGCATATTAACCTTCTCTGCGTTGTTATCGGGCAGCGGGCCAGCCTTACGGGCATCGAGATAGCATTGAAGCTGCTCGAAGTGGCTCGGACCAATCACAACTTCATCAGAGCTCTTCAACTGAGAGTGGAAGAGCAACCAGCGCAGAGCAAACTGAGCCCCAGTAGAGTCATGCTCCTTGGCCATGTTATCCAGCTCACGCATGGCATCGTGGAATGCAGGCTGGTCGTACCACATGCGGTAAAGTGCGCCCACCATGTTTCCCTCTCCAACCTCGAAGCGGGTCCCCTCCAAGCTTTGGAGTGTCGGGTGGTAGGATAGTTTACCAGTCAGGAAGCCACCAGCCAAGGGCGAGGTAGCCTCGAATGCAATCCCGAATTCACGAAGGACAGGGAACAGCTCGTCTTCGTAGCCGCGTCAGATGACATTGTATTGGCCTTGGTAGACAGATGGCATGACGAAGTCTTTCTCCACTGCCACGTCCATCCACTCGCGAACCATGGCTGGGGTGTAGTTGGACAAGCCAAGGTTTTCGAAAAGGCCCAGTCGATAGTAGTGGTCGAAGTATGCGGCTTGCTCGGCGATGGGGACTGTGCGGTCCGGGGCGTGAGCGTAGAGGGTGTGGATCTGAGGGATTAAAGTCAGCGATATCCGCGATACTCGAGCGCGAGATGAGCTTGAACACACCTTCTTGATCTTCAGTCGGTCCAGGCTATCATTGATCGATTTGCCAATGTTCTTCATGGAGAGTGAACCATCTCCGATGAACATAATCTTGGTGTCGATGATAGCATTCTCGGGCTTCTTTTCGCCGAGGAGCTTCTCCGAAACACCAGGATTGGTAGCTGGATAAAGGGCAGCAGTGTCAAAACGCTGAATGCCGGCATCCTTGAGGGCCACCATCAGCCGGTCAATGTTACCACTGACCCAGGTGGCACCGAAGCCCTGGGCACCGAAGACGTATTGAGGGGCATCCATGTTTGAAAATGAATGAAAGATTGAGGTTTGAAGGAAGAGAGATGAGAAGGAAATCCTAAAGAAGGTGCGTGTTTGGGGGGCAGTTCCTCGTTGCACAGAACGTCAAAAGCCCTCCCACACTTGCAGAACTCTCGGTTACACTTTGCACTACGTCTTCAGGGAAGAGAAATATTCATTGTGATATATGGCCCCATTGTTTGCCTATTCTCAATCTAAGATCTGGCCAGCAAACTCCTCGATCTTCTCAACGAGTCCCGTCGTCCAACTGAGATGCGGCGAGTGTCCACATGGTGCATGGTACATGGTGAACGGCTTCGACTGGCTCGCAGCCATGCCTTCCTGATACTCCTTTGGCAACGTGTAGTCATTTTCCAATACCAAATACGCACAGGGTAGAGTAGTGTAGGGGTTATGGGTCAGAGGGCTGTTCATGACAGGCGCTGCTGTCAACGTACCCGCCCATTTCTTAGCGGTCGCCTCGTCGAGATCATTGAAGAGGAATTTCTCAGGATCGACCATTGTGCCAAGGCCATCAACACCGTGTTTCTGCAGACCGTCAGTGCATGCTCGACAAGGATAACTGGTGGGAGTCCTACGTGGAACCGCATGAATGGGGGTGCAATGTTTCTGCCATCAGCGGGTTGAAAGAAGCTGTGGACAGATTGACCCTCGGGGATGATGAATGCGCCGATGAAGAAAATCCCGATGATACCGCCAGTCTTACCCTCCTGTGCCCGTACGGAAGCCTGTCGGGCAGATGTTGCTGCCTCGGCAGCCACCCAACCGCCAGACGAGTGTCCTGCAAGCAAAACCGACTTTCCACCCGAGATCAGACGGTCGATTAGACGCCCAATTTCTGCTGCATCATCTGCGGGAAGAGGGTAACCTCCTGGAGGAGCCCTTCGATCGAAATCGGGGTTGTTGATGTCGCCGACATTCAGTTGGCTGAGATCGCAGGTAGGCCGCTGAGGGCAGTATGTTTCAATACCTCGCTCAGTCAGGGCATCCACCAGTGGCTGGTATGGAGCAGGTGTGTGGTAAGAGCCATGGCAGAGCACGACGACGAAGGGAGGGGCCATGGTGGTTGTAGAGAAGAAGTTGAGAGTAGGAGAGAAACATCAATAGATCCCCGCATGTAAGGCTGACCACCACTTCCCCTTTCAATGTCACGCTGACTCTACACGGAACTGTCTGTATTGGCTTACTTGCATATATTATGTATTTTATATCTTTGATTATCCCACCGATACAACCGATCACTCCAAAATGAGACAAATCTGACATGCATCCGGCATAAGCATTGCGTTTGAAGTTCAGTTCCTGATCGACATGTGGAGCACGCAGATCTCCTAGAGACGCAAGGAGAGCAAACAAAGACACTTGGCTACGACAATCAAACGGCGTCCACTTTAGGGGTAGGGGGCGGATTCAGACTATGCACGTCCAAATCGCGCGTCACCAAGATGCCTCCATCTGCTCCTTTGTGTCCAGGCCCAGCAACTGCATGCGCTGTGGGTGCCCCGGTATCCCCAATTTCATTCCATGTCATGTTTCTCTCCTCGTCGTGGCTGCGATCAAGAGTTGAGAGGAGGGAATCAAACTTGGCCAGATGGCGGCGTGGACGGGTACGAGCAGACCCGATGGTGGGCAAGTCGTGCGGTCGCGCCGAAGGCACACGGCGCCCACGGAAGATCAAAGGACCCAAGGTTGGCACACAGGCCACCAATATTCCTGCAGTCATCTCGGCAATGACAAAGATCGAACTGTCTCTAGCGCAGTAGATGATATCGTCGGTTGGACAGAGCTTGGTCTGTATAATGCGGCCCAGATTGATACCAGCCGTTCTGCTACCGTCAGCTCCTGGAGATGAACTAGCAAATGCATGACTTACAATACTCCCAGTGCAAACGACGCTGTCACACCGGTCTTCTTGCGACTTGACATATGCAACCGCCATACGATTGGCAGAGGCAGCAGCACGACTCCTAGGTCGATCCCCATGTTGAATCCTGCAGAGGCGTACTCGGTCTTGATCACATCGCCGCAAACCCCTGCAATAGTGCGGTCCCAGTTGTAAGCGACCGGGCGGCACAGCAGAGCAATTGTCAAAATTGAAGCCACCCAGTATAGGAAGACCAAGCCTCCCACTCCCATTGCTGTCCAGAAGAAGACTGGATTGTTTGGGAAGATCTCAATATATAGCAGCAGAATGGCGAGTCGAAATGAGGCTGTTGCTGTAGCCCAAAACCATTCCGATGCCCAGAATGTCTGACCAAATCAGCATCAAGCATCTCACATACATACAAAACACACCTTTAATGCACTTATCAACTGTTCTGGGTGGTGAGCAGCCATTATCGATGTGTGTCCGCCATAGCCGCCGATGATCGCCCCTGAGGCTGGAGATAAGCCGAGGACCATACAAACGAAGCACCCCGTTGGACTCACCTGTCAGTACGTCTATCACATATCCAGTCAAGGCAGCCTGGACTTTGTATTAGTATTTTGAGAGTTGCAGGTCTATTCAGACTGACAGACTGACCAGTGAGAAAAATACGAGATAATCATGGCTTTTGAACTGCCGATGCCGCATTCGTGTAGAGATCACCCTCAAAATCACCGCACCGGCAGCAATAAAGAGTAATATTAAACTCCAGGCGATCAGCACCGGAGCGCGTGGATTCAGGCGCACCATAATGATATCCAAGGGAAAGTCACTAGATGGCTATACCGGAGGGGATGATGATGGCAAGTACTATAGGAAAAACAAAGGGATTCAGCAGTTTGAGCCTCTCTTCAAGTAGCCTGGTCTCGTTTGGGACACGGCACCTCTCAATGGGGTATCTTCAAGTAGGGATTGCTGAACACTGCAGCTCTCGTACGACCTCACAACCTTGCTGACTCTCTTCACTTCAACTTGTTTCAGCTGGTAACCTTGCAGTTGAGGACACATCTAGTCTGAAGCACCAGTGGAAATACCCTTTCACATATCCTCCCTCCATCTTCCCTGCTCATTTCAAAGCAAAATGGCTCAGCGGCGAGATACATACGCGGAGAATATGGGGCGCAATTCCACCGAGGCGCAAAGGTAACAAAGTCCACCAACCAATAACAACCCAAAACTAACTCAAAACAGACTCGACGAGCAGTTCGAACTGATCACCGAGTAAGTGCCTATTGTGATGATTCCGCCTGGAAAATCCAGAAAACTGACTGACACAGAAACATCGGCTACCTTCTGCACCCATCCGTTCGATCCAAGCTGCCCCCCAATGCCCGAGTCGCTGACGTGGGCACAGGCACTGCAGCATTCCTGCGCAGTCTGAGCCATTACCATCCCAACGCAACTATGCATGGCTATGACATCTCGACCTCGCTGTTCCCGCCATTTTCCACCCTCCCCCCCAATGTCACACTGTACCTCCTCGACGCCCGTCAGCCCGTTCAGTCGACGCTATGGGCCAAATATGACCTCGTGCATGTGCGGCTCATTTCGGCGGGCCTCAAGCCTAGCGAGTGGCCTTCCATAATTCGGAACCTCACGCGCATGTTGAAGCCTGGTGGTGCTATGCAGTGGGAGGAATGTGATTTTACCGCTGTGCGACATCTTGCTTGTTCACCTACTGCCACTACCGACACTGCCTCTTATATGGGCCGGCATTTCCTCGCTGGGATGATGCACCATTTTCAAAATGGTTGGAATAGACTGACTACTGAGATGCGTGCCGCTGGTCTGAAAGAGGTTCATACTGAGGTTGTTGCTGCTGATCGAGTTTACGCCACCCGCCCGCGTCTTACTGCTAATGGAATGGTGGCTATATTTGCGTGGGCTCGGCTCGCGTCTGCAAGAGGGGATGAAGGCTCATTGACTATGCAGCAACTGGAGCAGCTTGAACGTAAGGCATACGCGGACATTCAATCGGGATGCTATGTGACTTTTGATATCCACGTTGCTTGGGGATTCTGCGCATCTTAAGAGGCCATTCATTGGGTCCTTTTCTTTTGATTTCTCGGTTCTAATTCCGCTGTCACTATGCAGCGATAAAACGGTGTAATGCATTTACATTATTTAATTCCGTTTCAATGGCTTCACGAGTTCCAAGTCAAATAACCAATCCCTCACCGACGCTCAAAAACAAGCCGACAAGGCCCAGGCTGAGCAGTAAGCTGATCCCTCATATCCCTTTCGACTGCCTCACCCCAATTTTCACCGGGCGCAAATCGGACCCGATACCGAGATACTAATGCAGCAGCAAGAAGACGAATCTGTGCAAGTGCCAAATGACGCCCAACACAGCTCGTTCGTCCTATTCAGCACAACGTGTTAGAATCTGACATACTCAATTTCCGCGTGCAACTCGACCATGAATATGGAAACACAGGTTGATATATATATATCTAGTCACCAATACGTTGGGTAGCAGCTTACCAATACCAAAAGGAGCAAAAGCCCTCTTGTCCTTAATCAGCTCTGGTCGGCTGTACCACCGCTCCGGAATGAAGTCGTGGGGGTTGACATACGCGGTCTCGACTGGGTTCTTGTCAGCTTGTGTATTTGTATAATGTCATGTAATTGGATGTGATGCTATGCTTACGTCGACCAATTGTATACCGTGGCGCACAGACTTTCGTGTTTCCTGGGATGAATATTCCGCAAATTACTAGGCCTTCTGGTGGTGTTACTCGAGAGCTGAATGTTAGGACTGCTGGTAGGAGGCGCATTGCTTCGTTTATCGTTCCGTTCAGGTGGGAGAGGGTTGATAGAAGTGCTGGGTCTTCTATATTGATCTCTTGTAGTTCTTCGTGGATTTTCTCGGCGTGGTCGGGGTATCGGGCGAGGAAGTAGAATAGAAGTGTTAGGCTCGGGGCAGTTGTGTCGCTTCATCTTGAAATTAGAAAAATGATTATCTATACGAAGCGTTACTTACCTGCCAGCTACGACTAGTGTAGCAGTATCACCACTCAACCATCGCGCTCGGGTAGGGTCTGATCTATGTTTTTCATAGTCTTCAATGAACCAAGAGGCGATATCTCGATCAGAAAGTACTTTCTATATCCCTGTTAGTCAAATCACTCGCCATGTAACTCGGCACTCTCACCTTCATCCGTCGAGCCATACACTGATCACAAAATTCAAGCATATGGAACCAATGACGAACTTTCCACAACCCAGGTATAAACGCAAATCCCAACCTAGGAATCCAAATGGCCGGACTAAATGGTCCCAGCATGGTGAGGGCCGATCTTAGCATCACGATAGATGAATGCCACTTTCTGGTACGCATCATGCCGAAGTCCTCACTGAAGGCGAAATCACCCATTGAATCGAATGCGAAAAAATACATCAAGTCATTTACTAGTACTGAGTTTGATTCTTCCATGGCGACAAGATTTTCCAGTGTGTGGACTTTTTCTATAAGTCTTCGGTGGTATTGCTGTAGGGCTAGGAGGTCCAATTAGTCTACGGCCTCTCTTATGGAATGTGTAGTTCTCACCCTTGGTACTTAAAGCCTGCTCCCACATTTTCCGCCGTTCATTATGAAGTTTTTTGTCCCGGGTAAAAATCGATGATAAGCGTGGATAAAGTAGGTCGTACCAATCGGATCGGGTATTGCGGTTTTGAAGGCCATCCATTGCCTCGTACGCCTCGGGGTGGAAGATAGTTATTTCACCGGGACCTGACACCCCATTGCAATGTTAGCAAAAGGATATACTGACGACTATCAGGATTCTTACCTGTTCGCACGAATTCTCCGTACTCTTCGTACCAGACTTGGAGAACAAGGTGGCCACGCGAGTCGCGACATTTCCAGACATGCCAGAGCTTGGTCAACGACGCTAGTCTTGGTCCAGGGAATCGTTTCAATTGGTGGAAGAAGATTCGGTAGATTGTAATGCTAGAGAACAAGGCGAAATTGTAACTTAGTATAGAGTATGTGATTCGGAAGACATTGTTTTGGCGGCTGTCGTGGTATATGAAAAGGCCGGCGGAGTATATGATGGCTGCAATGGCTATATGAAGAACAATGACCTCTGGCCCTCTAAGATGCCACTCGCCGTGTATGAAGATGAATTGGTGGACCAGTAGCCCCACCACAATAGCGATTGCTTCGGGTGCTAACATGGCCACAACTGCATGAAGATTGGCGAGGTCGTTAGAGGACGCTCGCCGAGGCTTTCCTGATGATATAAAGAGGCTGTGTCTGCTATATGACCGTTTATTTTGGGCCAAGCTCATTGTTGGACAGCGTCCGTCATCATCAGCTGTCGGGGGATATGTAGCAAATCCAGCCGTTTTGACGACAATGGCAATACGTCAGGTATCTACCCACAAGACAGGCCTTTGTTCAACCTCCCACGAACTCGGAAACTCTACATATTGGTAAGTTTGATTCACCGCTCCTTGTCGCTATAATGATCAAACTCGCCAACTTCAAGTCAAACCAAGCTTTCAAACTCCTCTGGCTGATACAACCACCTGATACCGGTGAAAGCCTTCGCCTGCTCTGTTATATACAGTGTGTCAGTGGAGGAATTCCAAACATGGACTTCTCTAACAAAGTCCTCAGGGGGCTCCAATCTTGCAGATACCATCTTTACACGTTCTGGCTGTTCGTCTTCAGCGATTTGAAAACCATCGTCGTACCAAGTACCATTTTCGGAATCACAAATGGTTGGGCCGCACCAAAATACGGTCTGCACGCTTCCAGTCAGCTTGTACGCCCTCAGAATACCATCGATCTTCTAAGCTTGATTGGCAGAGGCCTGACGGTCTTGTTATGGGTCGTGATAAACTTTATCCCATTCGCCATCAACAACCAGCGCGGCGAACGGGCAGTCGCCGAGGATCTCCTCAACAAGCCCTGGCGACCCTTTCCAAGTCATCGAATTTCCCACAAATACGCCACACGGATCATGGTAGCGCTGTACATATTCGCACCCTTGTATAGTATGATCTTTAGCGGAGGAACCCGACACTCTGGCTTATTGATAATCCTGGGATTGTGGTACAACAACTGGGGTGGCGCAGACAATGGCCCGATAGTACGAAACGTCACCAATGCGCTGGGCTATACATGTTTCGTATCCGGAGCCATGGAAGTGTTCCTGGGCGGCTCTGCTCTGCCCCTTCATCCTGGGGAGTTGTTGGGACAATGGCATCTGGTCATTACTGCTGTTATCTTCTCAACTGTTCATCTGCAGGATATGTCCGACCAGCCTGGTGATGCCCGGCGTGGTCGTCGCACAGCCCCTCTTGTGTGGGGTGATGGTTTTACTCGGTGGACGATCGCTGTGCCATTGGTCACTTGGGGGGTAGCTTGCCCTATGTTTTGGGGTGTTTCTTCGCTCTGGTATTTTCTAAGTGCTAGTTTAGCATGTACAGTGGCTGTGCGAGTTTTATTTGTGCGTGGAGTTCCTGGGGACCAGAAAACGTTTCGTACGTGGAATTGGTGGATTGCGGTAGTATATATGTTGCCGCTTTTCTCGGTAGACTCGACAGAAGGGATTGATTGAATTTTGAAAGCCTTGCAGCTCACTAGGATTTGTTCAGTGACCGGGTCCATACGCTTGGATAGGTTAGAGAATAGAAATGGCGTTGCTGTTGTAACAAGGCCTCTGCTTGCGTGCAGGGGCCCTATATTTCCCATGAGTTCTCCAACTCAGCGCAGATACGCAACGAATATTCGAAGTAGTAGAAAAGTAATTTTCGTTTGTAATAACTGTGATTTGTGCTCTAGTTAGCGTCAATTTAAGGACCACACGGCCGTCCGCGGACTTGGCTGGCTATTCAAAGGCTCCTCAAAGCTGAGGCTAGCTTAACCACCGTTCCTCGACCTGCCATGTATGTGGGAATAGGTGGAAAAGAAATTAATATCGCGAAGCAGGTCACAAAGAGTGTACCAAAGTCGGGTCAGGCGCGAACTGGAAACGTTGCGAAGAATACATGAAAGTTTAAGGGGCGGGAGTTAAAGCGTCGGTGGATACCACTATCAAAACTGGCTGGTCTCCCAGGCAGCTCTTCCACATACAAATGATGATGTTCCGACCCCTGCTCTGGTGGGGCCAACACGCACACCTTGTTGCCTTGAGATTCAAGAATGAATCCCTTGATAGCCCAAATGCATCGAAGCCAAACTAACTTTTCGTATTCAATGTAAATAATAAGCTCGGACAACTCGGTCTTTGACGGCTTTACTGTTAGTCAGAGAACATCTTAACCCCGATAATCTCCGTCCGTCCATAATGACGTTTGGCCGAGTCATTCACATTTAAGAAGCTATTTACGCCCCGGTTAAACCATATTCTTGTTCAAATATTCATCATGGGCTTTCTATACTCCCAATTTTTTGTTACTCCCCAATACCCTAAACAGTCCTTTGCGGATCAGACAGTGCTGATAACCGGCGCCAATGTCGGCTTAGGGTTAGAAGCTGCACGCCATGTCACGCGACTGGGCGCCTCTCGAGTGATCCTCGGCGTTCGCAATGTGAAAGCTGGCGAAACTGCGAAGGAGGACATTGAGAAGTCCACAGGCCGCTCAGGCGTGTGTGAAGTGTGGGAGGTAGACCTATCCTCATACGCATCCGTCATCGCATTCAGCGAGCGTATCGCGAAGCTCCCCAGCCTGGATGTAGCCATCCTCAATGCCGCCATTGCAACAGGAGAGTTCTCAACACCCGAAGGCTATGAGCGAAGTATCACCGTGAATGTGATCAGCACCCTCCTTCTCGGACTCCTCCTCCTCCCAACGCTAAAGTCGACCCGAAAACTGTTCCCATCACGCACGCCCCACCTCACATTCGTCGTGAGCGAAGTCCATGGCTGGGTCAGCTTCCCCGAATGGAAAGAAGATCAACCGATGAAAACAATCAGCGACCCAACAAAGGCGAACATGCGCGAGCGCTACCAATTGTCGAAGTTGCTCGAGGTGTTGCTCGTGCAGGAACTAGCAGGCCGGGTTCGCGGATCAGAGGTCATCATCAACATGGTCAACCCTGGTCTGTGCCACTCACAGCTCGGAAGGGAGGGAGGATGGAGCTTCATGCTGTTCAAGTTGGCCCTGGCTCGGTCTACCGATGTTGGCTCGCGGACCCTTGTAGCCGGGGCTACAGCTGGACTCGAAAGCCACGGCGCATATATGACAGATGGACATGTGGAGAATACGGCTCTTTCGCCATTTGTGCGTAGTGACGAAGGGCGCCAAGCGCGCGAGAAGTTGTGGAGTGAGTTGTCGTCGATCTTGGAGGGTGTTCGTCCTGGTATTATGCAGAACGTGTAATCGCTTAATATTATTTAATTTCCACTCATGTAATATTATTTAGTATTGAGTGAAATGGGATGTCATTTTATGGGAAATAACGAGTACTTTCGCACCTGATTGGGCAAATCTCTGTCTGACACCTGCAAGGTTGACCGTTTAGAGTCAGCAGTTGACACAAAACGTCGATCAGCTACTGGAATCCCCGGGTCTATCAAGTTGCTTTTGTTGATGTGGCCCTAAGTTCTTGACGGGCGTTCTCATTCGTAGATCAACATAGCCCAGGCAGCAATTGCCCGCTTTACTGGCTCAGCCAGCCCATTTGCAAATGCAACGGTCCATCACAGAGCAAACACTCAGCCAAGCAGATACGAAATAATGGTAAGATACGTGGTCCCAACGACCGCTGTACTACTCAAGAGCTTGTCCAACAGATGGCGGTGGCCTGAATAACGAGGTCCTATTGACTGCTCGCTTTGTTCAACAAAGAGATTGCCGGTGCCAAGAGACGTGTTCATAATGACCGTGAAACTATACAAGACAATTCGCTATGCTCAGCTGTGTTCATTTAAGTCTGCTTGTCCCAATACTCGACTGGGGTTACTTGTTGAGATCTGTACTTGCTGCTACTCATTTTACTGAATATATTCAACATGGTTCCTCTTTTAGAATCAATATCTGACGACTCTCACTCAACTACGACCTTCAAGAATTTGTCTAACGGGACTCCGATGCCAAGTGTTGACCTGACTCTCACTAGTCTTCCTCGGCGACTTTTATATCTCGCTGACGCTCTATATCCACCCCTTTCTGCTCATGCGGAATATCCAGACATTCTCCTCCAAAGAATCCTCCAATTGGCCTGGACTGCAACAATCCGATCATTTGCCTACACGACTACATTTTACATAGGCGAGCAATACCACAAGGGTCGATGCTATGTTGGCGAGGCAGCTCACGCCTTTTCCAGACCGACCGTCCAAATCCACATAGAACCCCATGATGCCGTTGGAGATCTACTTGCTCAGTCGGTTGAAACGTTGGCGTCTTTGAGAAATACAACTGTGGCAGCAAATGGAATATCTGGAATCGATAGAAAGGAGGGTGGCTTCAATGTGACAATTGTCTACGAGAGGCAGCCCTCAAATGAAAGCTGCAAGGCCCGCCGCGAGACATGCTGTCCTATACCAATTGAATCCCCTCAATCAGACTCAATTTTATCGGGACTACTTCTTTGCATATCTCACAGTCCAGATGACAAATTACATGCTCGACTGGACCTAGGCGACACTCACATCGATATACAACTCGTGACGAGCCTTCTGCATAGCTTTAACCAAGCACTATCATCGATGGATGGCTCACCAGCACAGACCATTGGCAGTCTCGAGCTATGCTCATCACAAGACCGGGACCTGATTGCCGGGTTCACCGGCACACTTGCACCTCCCCAGGATGCCCTTCTACATGATCTCTGTTTCCGACATGTCAAGATAACCCCTGACGCCCAAGCTATATGTTCCTGGGATGGCAATCTTACATACCGAGAACTCAAAGAGAAGACTTGTCGCCTGGCTCATTGGCTTGTCGGTGAAGGCGTAGGACCAAGTGTCTTCGTCTCTTGTGCCTTCTACAAATCTACATGGGCTGTCGTGGCTCGCCTCGCTGTCCTCATGGCCGGTGGTGCATATGTCTGTGTGGATGGAAGTAATCCGCCAACATACCTCAACTCCGTTCTAGAACGCACCCGGATCAAGATCATGTTGACCTCCACCGGGTATAAAGACAGGTTTTACAGCCGGGTTGAAACCGTGTTCGAAGTGAGCGAGGCTTCACTTTCGACACTCCCAATGGTAAATGGACCCCCCACTTCGGATGTCACGCCAACCGATCCATGTGTTGTTTTATTCACATCAGGCAGCACAGGCAACCCCAAAGCCATCGTACAAGAACATCGCAGCTATGCCTCTGCCCTGACAGATTATCTCCGCGTTATGGAGATGGGCCCACACAGCCGGATGTTCCAATTTGATGCCTACGCCTTCGACATCAGCAACAATGACTTCCTGGCACCGCTCATGGCCGGAGGATGTTGCTGTGTGCCAACAGTCTCACTGACCATAGACGCACTCATGAACGACATGAATGCATTGCAAGCCAACATTATGTTCGTAACACCCTCAGTCGCCATCGACATCGACCCAGACCGTGTCCCAACACTGAAGATGATGTGTATCGGCGGGGAGCCGGTCTCAGACGCCGTGTTGTCGAAATGGCTACACCGCGTGCAGGTCGTCAACCAATACGGTATGGGGGAGATCGCATCTCTGTGTGCCTATAACCGCAACCTCCAGATAGGGCGTGGTGCAGTAGTCGGTCGTCCTGCGACCGGAGCAATCTGGATTGTTAGCCCTGATAATCCCGAACAACTGATGCCCGTCGCGGCAATAGGAGAACTCCTAGTTGAAGGACCACATCTATCGCAAGGGTACTTGGACCATGTTTCCGGACAGTCTGAGAACTTCCTATCAACAGCACCAGCCTGGATGGCACAGCTTCACCCCGATAGACCTAACCATCGACTTTACCGGTCCGGGGACCTAGGTCGCTGGAACCACGACGGAACCCTTGAACTAATCGGCCGCAAGGACAGCATGCTGAAACTCGATGGGGCACGGGTCGAAGCCGAGCAGGTGGAGTATGTATTCCGCCGCAACCTGATGACAGGCGACGCAGCCATTGTCGATGTCCTCGGTGTGGCTGATGGCCTAGGGGATCCAACTCTCGTGGTCTATCTGTACCTTACGAGCAACCCAATGAATCTGGAGAGTGGGCGTATCGAGGAGATGCAATTCCGACCGATTAGTGACAGGCACGCAGTGCACACTGTGACCCGGTCACTCAGTGATGCTGTCAGCAAGAACCTGCCAACCTATTACGTCCCCAGTTTGTATCTCCTGATTGATCGCGTGCCACGCACAAAGTCGAACAAGACGGATCGACGTAAACTCCACATGCTGGGACAGGCGTATTACATGGAGCATCGAGGGGAGTTGAGAGATATCACTGTCTGGCCGGAATGGGAATAGGATGTTCTTTGGGGGATACAGATCGACTTGTTGGGGATATGGGTTGATTGTTTAATATATTCGCACTTTAATATTAAGACACGGGCTGAGATTAAGGTAGTTTGCAGTTATGGGGTTAGAATCGGCCTTTAAATTGTTGTTTATTTCGTTGTCGATCGTCATTCCCATGTGTCGAGTTTATCACTGCGACCCGTTGTGGAGTTGGATATCTGATAACTCGAAGAAGCTGTTAACCTGAAACGGGTTTCTTCGCCGACGGCCCCTGTTTCATGGGGGTTCGGGGCATCTTCGGACGTTCTACACTTCTATATCGAAACGGAAGCCAAGTGCGTCTGCCTTCCATTTTGGCTGTTCTGTTCTCGCGGCGATCAATAACCACAACACAGTCGGGTTTCAACAACCTTTGCTATCGACGAGACCTGTGCGTGAACTACAGTCATCCATTGAGAAAATCCCCGGTTAGAGCCGTCTGAAACGCCAACGGTGGGTCTATTCAGGAACTGGAAGGCCACCTGACGATCATTGCGACTGTCAGGGACAACTCGCACTTGCAACTCGGGGCTTACTTCTAAAGGCATTGATCGAGGCTCTAGTCTACTCAAGTTCAAACAGGCTAAGCCCACCTACGCGGCCGCTCCATGTCCACTTCTCAACAGCGCAGCCTACTCCGTACACTTCTAAGATATAAAGCAGCTTTCGCATGTTCATCATGTCTTCATCAGGGCAATTCTTTCTTTTCCTCCCCTCGTTCATTCATTCCTTTGATTCCATTCCTTAACGTACTGCTGGTACAGTCGTTCTTTTCTTTTTCATTCCCTTCTGGACAAATTCCAACAAACAATGTGCCTCCTCAAATCCCTCGTGGCAGCGGTCGCCCTCTTGGGCGCCCACGCCCAAGCCGCCGGTGTGTCAGGCACCGCAATCGGCTTCGCATCAGGCACAACCGGCGGCGGCAGTGCGGTCGCCGCTGCGCCTAGCGATACCACCGAGTTGACCAAGTGGTTGACCGACAGCACCCCGCGTACCATCCTCATCGACAAGGAGTTCAACTACCTCGGCACGGAGGGCAAGTGCACCGACTGCAAGTGCTGTATCCCTGAATCCAACACCTGCGGCAGCGCTGGCCAGAATGCCATCGATAACTCCGACTGGTGTGGCAGCTACCCAACTACCACTTGTACTTACGACAAAGCTGGCATTGAGGGTATCAATGTTGCGTCGAACAAGTCTATTGTCGGTGTTGGCAGTAATGGCGTCATTCGTGGTAAGGGTCTCCGCTTGACCGGTGTTAGCAATGTTATCATTCAGAACATTCACATCACCGAGTTGAACCCTCAGTTCATCTGGGGTGGTGATGCCATTACTCTCGATGGTACCAACAACATCTGGATTGATCACGTCAAGGTCAACCTCGTTGGCCGTCAGATGTTCGTCTCTGGTTATGAGGCTAGTAAGTATTCCTTTATCCTCTCATAGATCTATACTTACCAAAACCCAGGCGGCGCGGTCACCATCTCCAATTCTGAATTTGACGGCCAGACCAGCTGGTCCTCCTCCTGCGACGGCCACCATTACTGGACAGTGTAAGCAATCACATCCACAAACAAACGTCAACACGAACTAACCCACCCAGCCTCGGATACGGTAAAGACGACCAAGTAACATTCACCGGAAACTACATCCACCACACTTCCGGCCGCTCCCCCAAGCTCGAATTCAACAGCTTCTGGCATGCCTACAACAACTACTGGTTCAACAACACCGGCCACGCCTTTGACATCGGTGAAAGCACCAACGCTCTAATCGAAGGCAACGTCTTCCACCAAGTCAAGACCCCCATGCTAGAGGACAGCTCGCCAGGCGCAACCTTCGCCGTGAGCTCCAGCTCAGCCGCAACCTGCAAATCCAAGCTTGGCCGCGACTGCGCACCAAACTCCCTTGTCCAATCCGGCACCCTTTCCGCTAGCGATGAGTCCGTGCTGAGCGCCATGCCCAAGGGCGAATCCAGTGTCAACGTCCTGGCTGCTAGCCGCGTCCGCTCATCCGTTCTGTCCAATGCTGGTGTTGGTAAGCTCAGCTCGTCGAACTCAAAACGCCAGTTCAGGGGTCAGATTGCCCCTGTGCTTTCCTCTGCTGGTCCTGGTGCTTCGCCTGCCGGTCCTAAGCCTACTTGGAGCTGGAGGACTGTTGGCGTTAAGCCTACTCCTTCCTCCTTCCCTACTGCCTTCCCTACTGCTTTCCCTACTGAGTCTCCTCAGGGTTCCCCCTTTGGTGGTAAGGGTGGGGGTGCTGGTCCTTCCGGTGGTTTCCCTTTCGGTTGGTTCTAAATGCACACCACTGAACTAACTCATGGAGTGATGATTTCAACCTAGGTTATGGACTCGAGTTCTATATATCACTACATGTACTTCTTTTCACTTCTTATATAAAGCTTGACGGGTTCATGTGAACACGCTGTCTTGCTAATTTTGTATTTATTCTTGAACTATATGTTGCTGTAGGTAGAAATGTCTGTCTCTTCGAGGCGAATAGCCTGCTCTTCAATCTTTTTCCTTCTTCCCATATAGACAGACATCAACCAGTTCAGCACATTCTTAGCTCGTGCCCTGAGGTAGGGCCGAGGCTCCATGTCTCGGGCTCTCGGGCTCTCGGGGTGTGTCCCCTTGTTCCGAATCGGCTTTTCCGAAGTCCAAATAGATAGACCTCTGCTGGCGCCCCGTATCTTTGACAGTACATGAACCAAAGCGCCCGAGCAGGTATGCATGCACAACGCGGGTCCTTTTGTTTTCGCCACACACTGACGCTCTCGATTCAATGATCGCCGCACCCAAGTGCGCCCCTGATAGCCAAAGGCGTATGCAACTAATGTACTCGCATCTCGCGAACATATCCTTAAACCCTTCATTCACCCATCATACCCCCAAGCCGGAGCAACAGCAGTGTTCGAAACAAAGAACGCATTCGTCATATCACCGAAGTGCATCTCATCCCCAAACCCCGGAATCCCAGCTGAACCAATAGTAAACCCCGCATCAGGATCAACAGGCAACCAATTAGACGTGAAGCGCGTACTCCCATCTGGCATTTCCAGCGGTGTAAGCGCTTCCTCTTCGTCGACTCTGTGTGTGGAGTATTCAGAGTATCGACGTGGAGATGTATGAGCCTGCGTCTGACACCGACTCTGGACATGGCCTTGGTCTTGGCCGTGAGTATTCAAATCCACACCAAAGGTACTAATGTGCAGCCCCTCATCCCGTTCCCGGTCGCTCTCCTCCCAAGCCGAAGCATGACTGGAGTCAGGCGACAGACAAGGATCCGAACTCGGCGAAGTCGGGAAAGGATAGGCCATGGGGTTCGGGGAGGGAGTCATGAAGAGGGCGCGTTCGGTTGCGAGGGCGTCGCGGAGTTGGATCGGGGGATTTTCGGGACTTGCGTTCGGTTGGGCTGTTCGCAGTGGCTGGAGGTGTAGGGGATTACTATTTGGGCTTGCACATGTTAGTTGCATGTCATGGTGTGTTTTTTTCCTGCTTTATTTATTGCCCCCCGGTTTGCCTCGGGATTTTTGTTTTTGTTTTTTTTTTCTTTTTCTGTTTCTTGGCTTGCAGATTGTAAGGGGTTTTATTTACCTTGAGTCCACACTGTGTTGTCTCACTAGACCGGCTTCATACCATAGTTGTGGGTATGGCTGGAATGTATTTGTCTTGGATGCGTATTCGTTCCAGTTGAACTGTTCAGACCAGATCGGGTCTAGGTCTTCTTGCATTGCGAACTGGAAGTCGCTGGCGATGAATGGGTGTGGACTTAGATCTTGCGATGCCATTGTCTGCTGATCGAGGAGGTTATCCATCGGCCAGGTAGGCATATCGAAATGTGCTGCTTCAGTCATTATGTCGGAGTGTAGATCTGCCGACAGGACTAGGAGCAGGAATGGCTAAGATGCTCGGCGCATGCGATGGGCGCAGGAAGTGTAGAAACGGCTCTTGTCAACAGTGAAGCTTAATATGTATTGCGCGCTGTAGATGTCCAGTGCAAAGCTCAAAGAACATGAATCCAAAGAAAATACTATTCCCCGCAAAGTCGGGGCCATGGTTTATTTATTCTAACAAAGGGTATTTAAAAAAGGAACAAGCGGAGTAAAAACCTGGAGAACGCGAAGCGAAGAGCTCCTTGCATATCGGCAAAATACCAAAGAGGCAATAAAACACCGCATGATCTTGACGAGAAAGTTTAGCTTCAAATCTCAACATTTAACCGACACTTTTTCCCCGGATTTTTACAGTGAGGTCTGTGCTGTCGGTCCGAACAGAGAGAAGAGACCAATCGGTGTATTCCTACAGTCCCCCGCCTTTCGGCTAAATAAGGGGCTCGCTTCAATAGAAGAACTTTGTTGTCCGGGGGAATGGGTCAATTACCCTTCATGTTTCACGTGGCGTGGTTAATATAGAAGGAAAACTTAGTTTATGGTGAGATGTATACATCCCTGCAAGCGAAGGCCAAGCGAACAATTACAACACGCGTCCCTGAGGTTTTGACCCGGGAACAAGAAATGAACCGAAGGTAAAATATATTATATACCGGTACAAGCAGATATGTACACAATAGCCGTACACAATAGCCATGATACATAGAACAAAGAGACACCATCCCAGCCCGATCACAAAACGCCGCACCGAAACTAGTAGAGCTATGTATAGACAGAACCGAAAGGGGGTGAAGAAGTGCAGAGATCCGGAGGAGAGATGAAATGAGTTCCTGGGGATTGAGGGGCCCCGCAGGAGCAGCGGTGCGAGTGCCACAGTAGCGGGAAGATCGACAGGAACCAAGACAAGGTCACAGCGAGGGTTGCAGTTGCAACGGATTAGAGGGCTAATCCGGTGCCCTTGCGTGTCCAGCGGTACAGGGCGAGGACTGCTTTGCGGCGGTGCCGAATCTCGCTCGGGTTTACCGGGCGGCCTCGGGCCTGTGCGACTGCGCTGCGCATCACTTGCCGAAAGCTGCGTTGGTATTCTGTGTTTAGGGTTACCACGCAGGATTCTGTGGCTCGGATCATTGTTTCGCAGGCGTTGAGGATGCCTTCGCCGGCTTCTTTTTGGAGGCGCTCGACGATTAGTAGGAGGAGGAAGCTTCCTTGTAGGAGTTGGATGCCGAAGAAATAGGGCATGAAACTGATGTCCGGGTCAAAGCGGAGGATTTGTTGCACCGAGTCGGCGGCTTCCAGCGCGTGGGAAATTGTGGATGCGAAGGCTGGCGATGATGTCCAGAAATCTTTGTCTTCGATTAGTGAGACAGGGTCCCACTTGCCGACTAGTAGGATATGGAGAACGTGGACGAGGTAGGACGAGTAGGCGATCACGGTTTGAGTGTGCCAAGAATAGGCCTGAGACATTTGCGCGTCGACTGGCTGGTCTGGTTTATTGGGATACCCGCTTGATAATGAAGCTTCAGAGTCTGCCGCGGCAAAAGTGGTCAGGCTGGATTTGTAGATTTCCAGCTGGCGTAGAACCTCGGCAACGTGGACATCCCATGCTTCTTTGCCTTGAAGTCGGGCACCAAGCGTAGGATGGTTTCGGGCTTGGTTGAGGTCAATCAATTCACCAGTTATCGTCATGAGAGGGAGGAAAAAGCCAAGAATGGAGTGGTCGTGGCAGACAAAGTTTGGGAAGACCCGCCGTTTGTTCTGATCGCCAGACCGGAGGCATTGGGGCCCATCGGGTCGGGGACTGTTTGTGTGGATTATTCCAGCCTGCCATGCATTTTCATCGAGTGGAAGCAGTAGGTCCTCGCTTTCAGCATCGAGGAGGGCAAGTGGGCGATTGTAGCACAACGCGAGATGGCGATCCATAATATACAGCAACCACCACGTCCTGCGCCGCTCTTCACGATGCTCTTCCGTGATAGGACTACTGTGAGGATCATGAGTTTGATCGCATACGCAATTCAAGCTCGGTCGCGAGGGATTTGAGTGGAAGGCCATGCCACCCGGTGACCCAGGCCACCCTCCCAACGGGTAGCCAAAAGACGGACTTGAACCGTCAGTCAGACAGTCAACATTAGACCGGACTTCCATCTCCTGGTTCAGTTTAAGTTCTCGGGCTAATGTAAAGGCCGCATGCCACCTAGTCTCGAATTAGCAACATGAACAGGGATTGAGGACCAGGTACATACCATCTCATACTTGCTGCCTTTTGCTCGCTGGATGAAATAATAGAGGCAACATGAATGTAGGTAATGACATCGTCCAGAGAACCAGCAGGACCCACCAGTCCTTTATCATCACCGACTCCTTCGAATGGGTGGTAAGCTGCGGCAGCTGAAAAGTCCTGGGGAGCAGTGACATTCTCCGGAGGCGACGCCTCCTGATCCTTGAAAGCAACGTGAATCAGAGGTCGAAGCAATCGTATAATCAATGCACACAAGAATTGACATATCTTCCGACGTTGTAAAGGCGATATAGACAATGAGAAAGCCCGATCATCCACAGCAGCAACCCAGAGCATACTAGCCAACAGCGCAGGGCTACTAGGCCTGGGACGGTCGGCGCTAAGAAAAGATGCCTTCCGAAGCACGAAACAGTGAATATGATGGCACACAGGGTGCATGTGAGTTGAGAACGCGCTAGTAAAATAGAGCTCGAGCAAATCGCAAACAAGTCGACGCGGCAGATTCGACTCGAGATAAGGCATAAGAGGTTCCAACACAGGATACTTCAACGGCGGCCGCGAAGATGATGGCTGACTGTGCGCCGAGTGATTCCCACCCGACACAGAGGGTATAGGCGGCGGTCGCTGGCTCACTCTATGACCAGCCAAATCAACCGGATTCCAAATATCCATAAGCCGAGGCAAAGGCGGTTCCCCAGCACCCGCAGCTGCACCCCCTAAGAGATCATAAGAGTCAGGAGAAAGATGTGCCGCAGAGAGCCATTCCTCTGTCACATTCGCAGCAGGCGCTGGCCGCTGCGGTCGTGCTCCGTCAACCACAGAGCGACGCCCATCGACGCTGGGAGCAGACATCCCACTAATCTCGTTCGTGGCCGGCGAGCGCTGGTGAAAGGTCGAGGTAGGCGAACTATTATCCAATGGCGACATAGCTTGTTCCGACATTCGGTGGTCACCATTCCCATTCGACTGCTTCGCTTCTGTGCGACTGCGACCCGCCTCGCTCGCCCCGGTGCCGTTATTCATAGCCATGTTTGCCTTGGATCGAGCGATGCGACCTCGTTTGCGTCGCTCGCGTGTAAATTCACAATGGATGTCACTGCGCAGACAGCGCGAGCAGGGAAAGGCTCGGTCGCATCGTACTCGGCGGGTGTGGCAAGAGTCGCAGGCAACTCTGTTCCGGCGCCATCGTCGCTTGCCGTTCAAGAGTTCGACCGAGGCGGGGGCCGTGGACGGCTGATCCCCTTGGGAATCCATTTCAGGACATCGTTAGCAGGGAAGGGCTGTGTATGTGTGTATAGTATGTGTGTATAGTATGTGTTCGGTGTATGTAGAGGTCAGGGTTTAAAGAAAACGTTGCGGGGAAAACACGCTAATGTCTCACCCGCAAATCTCCAACTCGGCCAAAATTTCCTTTTATTTTGTTACAATTACAAGTCTTTCTTAGTCGTTCGTCTAACTCTTTAGCTCGCTCAGCTCTTCTGGAGAGCACCCTTAAACCGCTCTAGCGCCCGATCACGACTTTTGGCATGGTCCACGATCGGCTTAGGATACCCATTCTTCTGCGCAATAGCCTCAGCCCCGCGTGCGTAAGGTTCATGGATGGCTTTGTTGGACACTTCGCGCAGCTCCGGCACCCAATGGCGGATGTACTCGCCCTCAGGATCGAAGCGCTCGCTCTGGCGAAGCGGGTTGAAGATACGGAAATAGGGCTGCGGGTCAACGCCCGTGCTCGATCCGAAGCCCCAGCCCCCGTGGTTGGAAGCGAAGTCTCCATCGATCAGGTTCTCCATGAAGTGTCGCTCGCCACGGCGCCAGTCCAGCATTAGGTCCTTGGTAAGGAAGGACGAGACCACCATCCGCGTACGGTTGTGCACCCAGGCCGAGTGACGAAGTTGTCGCATTGCCGCATCGACGATCGGGTATCCAGTCTTTCCGTCGCACCAGGCTTGGAAAAGGTCTTGGTCGTATTCCCATTCGATGTTGGTATGCTCGGGCTTGAAACACTTGTTCATACTGGGAATGGTTAGCGCAAGCCGTTATTGTCGGCACACATCACGTACCAGATGAATGGCCAGTTTGCCAAAACGTGTTTGTAAAAGTCGCGCCAGGCTACTTCACTAATCCAAGTCATGTAACCCGGCTCATATCGGTCGAGGTGGTTCTTGTTGGCTCTCTTGGCTGTGACAACAGCAGTTCTGGCACTCAAAGCGCCTGACGCAAAGTACGGACTGAGGACTGAAGTATGTTCGCCAGCCACGATACTTCGCATCTCCTCATACTTTTCCCCTTTCTCTTCCAGAAACTTATCCAGTCGTTGGAGAGCTTCATGTTCACCTGCGGGGTAAAGCTCCTCAAAGCGCTTTTTCTCGGCATCAGACAACTCTTTGTTTTTCGGCGTGGCGGGCACGTCGCAGTCAAACAAATCCTTGAAGTCTTTGCGTGCATTTCGAGGGTTCGAGCCAGGCTCCTCAGATACTTCGAGGTAGTCAGGGTTCTCCTTTAAGAACCTCAACCAGGAGCGATACCATGGCGTATACACCGCATATTGCTTCCCTTGTTGACTCGCCAGTGCACCAGGAGTGACGACACAGGTGTCATGGGTCGGAGCGAAATTAACATCGTTCTCCGCACATAAGCGGACCAACTTGGCCTCACGGCGGAGCTCGTCCACTTCATACTCGATGTTCGCATAAAGGTGCTTGGCGCCCCAATTCTGGCACAATTCCACGATGCGCTTCGGAATTGCCTTTCGCTTCTCCTGTGTTTCCATATACAGCGGGATATCTAACTCGCCTAGGTCCTGCTGGAGCCGCTTCAGGATGCGCAGGGTAAAGTCCACTCGAGCAGGACTGGTCAAATGAGCAGACCAGTCCTCCGGCGAGGCAATATAGAGTCCGATCAACGGGATACCATGTTTTTTGGCAGTCTGGTATGCCGCGTGCAGGGCTCTATTATCATGAAGCCGCAGATCGCTTTTGAACCAATGGACAACTGCGCTGCCAGGTTGAATTGACCGGCGCTTGTCTGCGGTTTCCTGGCAGGCATTCTGCATTGTTTCAATGGGACGTTCCAGCTCTCCATTTATGTATGCTTGGCATCGCTCATTACTCATCTCTGGGGGATAGAACTGGCGTAGAACAATGCCGAAGTCCTCGGTCTGCTTCGCGTTTGGATGCGGTTGGTGCAGATAGGGCTTGCTTTTCTTTGGGGCGTGCGAGCCATTGGGCTCGGCCGTGGCCTTTCGCTTTGGTGGCATGCTAAGATAACGCGTGAATTGAGAAACAATCGGACGACATGGACGACGAGCTAAGAATATGAAGGAGAGAAGTTCAAGGGGGAAATGAACAGGGAACTTGTTCAGATCTAGATCGAGATCGAGATCGGGTGACGTCAGGGCGCGATCGCGGTCTGGACTTTCTGCCCATTTTGATGTTCAGTCCAGGTTGCATTCTTCCCCTGCCAATTCCCTGAATTTCTGCGTGTCACGGTTTTGACTATCCATGATGAATGATATAAGGGCATGCATTTTCACAACTCCCGTCAGCGCAGCCGTCGACCTTCAAATCGGTGATGTACCTGCAAGAATGGTCTGCCAGTGAAGGTCTACGGTGAATGTCTATCGGTGAAGCCCCCAATGCCGCTTGCATGAACCGTCCAAGCAGACCCTGGAGCAAGGGGGATCGACGGAACCACGGCGCCGGAACTTCAGCCTACGCGCCTTACTGAATAATGGGTTAACAGTGCAACGGGGTACAATAGGGGCAATTTCAAGATCCCGGGACCAAAGCCAGATCCACCAATTGCCAACCTTAAGAGACTCGATGTCCAAGAAAAAGTGTCAAAAGATGTCCTAACGCGTCTCCCCGCAAACTTCGTTGATCCACGGCGCGGCTTCCCGTCGGTCGCCTCGTCCAATGCCTTTGCCCACGGCGCATGCGAACCAAGGAACTCGTCCCCGAAGCAGCTGTCATGGATTGGTCTCCGTTCTTCTGCGGAATTCAACTACCGATAACCGCTCTGACCTCTGCGCTTCTGAAATAATAGTCTTTAACTGAACTTTCTCCTCTCCACCCGAAATTTTCAGAAAGGAGCATATTGCCGACTTATATATTCCTCAAGGAAACCACTTCCTATTCTTCGGTCAACCCATTCCCTCCTTCCCTCTCCATCCCTGCCTTAATACACCGGGGCCCAAGCAATGTCCTGCCACTACAGATGGCGACCAACACGGCCTCAAATATCGCATCATCCCTAATCCACGACCCCAACTCCTCAATCACCTTCCGAACTGGAGTCTTCGCCGCCCTCTCTGCAGTCGCCTGGTACAACTCCGTCGAACTAATAATCCTCTGCTTCGTCACTTTCAAACGCTACAAGGGGACCTACTTCTGGAGTCTCCTCATCGCCTCCGCAAGCATCATCCCCCACTGTCTAGGCTTCGTCCTCCTCTTCTTCTCAAGCGTAACACCCTGGCTATGCGCCACCCTCGTTATATTCGGCTGGTGTGGCATGGTCACTGGCCAGTCGGTGGTGTTATGGTCCCGACTCCACCTAGTCCTGCAAGACAATAGAATCCTTTGGGGTGTATTATGGATGATATGCATCGACGCCTTCCTCTTCCACATCCCAATAATCGTCCTCCTCTACGGCACAGTCGCAGACCCCTACGGCACCTTCGCACAGGCATACAGGATCATGGAACGGATTCAATTAATCGGCTTCTGCGTCCAGGAATTGATTATCTCCAGTATCTACGTCTGGGAAACAGTCAAACTCCTCCGTCTCAGACCCCAAGGCCGTCCACATGGTATCCTCCTCCAATTACTCGTCATCAACATCGTCATCCTATGTCTGGATATTGCCGTCGTCGCCATCGAATATATCGGCTACTACGCCGTGCAGGTGATGATCAAACCAGTTGTATACAGCATCAAGTTAAAACTTGAATATGCAATCCTGGGCAAGCTAGTCGCTATCGCGCGCGGCTCATACAATTCCCAGGATCTACCATCAAGCGCACGGGAAATCAACGAGGTCACCGAGGTCAGCTCGTTCCCATCGTCAGGTGATCCAATCTCCAATATGGAATCTGGGAGGCAGGAACGGCGCTCGCATAGTGCGCCTTGGTTTTGGGAGGTGAGGACGAGGTCGCCGCCTCTCTCAGCTGATAATTCCAATTCGCCTAGTGCTTTTACTTATCCTTGACTTCACTTGTCCTTGACCTACGTGTATAATAATAAACTTAACGCCTTCCTTTTACTTACAATTTGTAATTGTCATAGAGGTTTATATCCTGTCTACATACTTCTTTACACTTTCATTGGGATATAGCTATCACCGGAAGTATTAGCATATCAATCACCGTAATACCGAGTTGTGGCTAACGCTTCGAAATCGAAGAATCTTTATTATCATATGTTCCACGTGATAAATGTTCAGTAATAATCCGCCGATGCCGATGGCCCAGCCTGAAGAATGAGTGTGCTACCGAAGATCTTGCTCTCGGGTTGCACCATCGCGGTCCCCAATGCACCCAGGGTCTGGCGTGTGTCATTTCCAATCCCATCATCTGAAATGGGCAATTCAACCTCAGAAGAGCCACTCCGCCGACCAACAACAACAGTATTATTCGCCTTATTCGAGGTCCGGTTCAACTCTTCCCGGACAGCAACGACCGCCATACGAATGGGATCAGTAATCGATTCCGTGAGTGCAGGTTGCGAGAAAACAACCCGATCTTTCAGATCCTCTGGTACAGAGTCGCGGAGCGTCTCAAAGAAAACCAGATCCGAGTGCGAGATAGACGCAGGGGATGCCTCTGAACTGGAAGCCGAGACAACGGTCGTCGTACCCATCTTACCGCTCTCGCCACTCAACTCGCCAATCTGAATAACCGTCGCAGTAACATGATCATTCTGCGCAAGTTGCAGAACAAACCTCAGCGCAAACCGATCATCCACACCCCCAAAGAACGGAAGAACAACATGATGGGACCGATTCCCCGTTGGCTGCCGCGCCCACATAGAACTCTGAATACTCATGCCACTAGTCGTGTGGTCAAGCGTAGGCCGCTTAAACGAGGAAGTCAAACCACGCTCAAGGAAGATGCCAACGTGACCCGGGACACGGTTCAAGATGTCCGCAACAAAATTGGTATACACACCATTTGCAAAACGGCTCGTCGCATCGACTTCCAGTCCATTCTGGCGATCTGCTAGTGTGCCTGTCTCACTCCACGGGAGTAAGAGCAGGTCAGCTGTATCTTGTTGCGCCATATCGACGACAGTATCTGCGTATGAATGTTCCGGGACGACGGAGACGCCTGCCATGAGGCAGAGGTCGTGCCAGTCGCCGAAGGCGCGGAAGGTGTTGACGACTGGGTCCCAGAGGGCCTGTTCACCTGCAGCGACTTTCATTACGCTTGAGTGGCGGTCTGTTAGTTCTATTAGTCTGACGCCGTGAACGCGAAGGGAGGGTTCATCGGATTCAGTTTCGTTGGTGATCGGATCTTCGATTGTTTGGTCGGTTTGTTTGGGGGTTTTTGTTGGGTGGAGGCGTGTTGGTTGGCTGCGGTTTGTGCTTAGGAGGGCTGCTAGGGTGCAGATGCCTGATAGACCGTCGAGACGGAGGTAGACGAGGAGTTTGCGGACTGGTGTTGTCTTTAGGTTGTCTTTTGCGAGGGCTACACTGTCATTCCGGTTGTCTTGTTGTACTGGGTTGCCTTCCCAGTCGATTTCTCCGCGTCTCCAGCGTTCGACTTTGACTTGGTACCAGTTTGGGTAGAGCCAAGTGGTTAGGGGAGTTGTGAGGAAGGTCGTCACTAGAGCCATCACGACAAAGATGGTGAAGGTGCGAGTGCTCAGGATCTTAGCTTGAAGGCCGATGTTCTGGAAGACAATCAGTTCGGGTCCTATTAAATGTTTACTCGGATACTGACCAGCACAATCAACTCCACCAAGCCCTTGCAGCTCATCAGCACACCAATTGAGAAGCTTTCGCGCCACAACAGACCACACCACCTGGATGCCAGAGCACCACCAGCCACCTTAGCGATGAAGGCAATGGCGATGACTCCAACCACATATCCCCAAACGAGCCCAGAATCAAGCAACCCCAGATTGGTGCTCAATCCAGACAAGGTGAAATAAAGAGGCAAGAAAAGAGCAGCGACCAAGTCCTCGATCTTCTCAGTCAGCTTGATAGCGAAACCACCTTCATGAGGGCAGATCAGGCCTATAACAAAGCCACCGAAAATAGCGTGGACTCCAATGATCTGCGTGAAAAAAGCAGACGCAAGAGCGATGAGCAAAGTCAGCGCTACAACCGACTGACTAGGGCCCTTCTGCAAACTCCCCGATCTCTCAAGGAAGCGCAAGAACACTGGGCGAAAAGCGAATGTCAAGAAAAGCATGTATCCCACACAGACTAGCAACACATACAACGCCGTGATACCACTTCCCGCATTAACAAGCGCAACACAAAGAGCCAGTAGGATCCAGCCTACAACATCATTACCCACACCTGCCGACAGCACGATAACACCAACACGAGTTGACAGCAACTTCAGCTCAGTGAGGATACGACACAGGACAGGGAACGCCGTGATGGCCATGGCAATACCAATGAACAACAAATACGTTCCAAACTCGATCGGCCTGGTACTTCCATCATCATGGAATTCATGGTAAAGACCATACGAGATCGCACAACCAAGACCGAAAGGGAGGATCATCCCCGCGGCGGAAACGCTCAATGCGACTCGCCAGTTACTCACCAGGAAACGGAGGTCGGTCTCCAACCCGACGAGGAAGAGGAATAGCACCAGTCCCAGGTTAGCGACGACATTCAAGCTGGGGATACTGGCTGTTGGGAAGATGGTCGCGGTGAAGCCGGGGATGCGGCCCATTACCGATGGCCCTAGGACGATGCCACCGATTACCTCTGCGATGACTCGCGGCTGGCGGATCTTAGAGAGTGGCCAGTGGATCAGGCGGCAGAGGATAATGATAATTCCCGCCTGGAGTGTGTCAGTGGCTTTTCTTAAAGCTGTCCGGATGTCCTTACTTGGATGATGAACAGCACCAGAGGATTCTTGGAGTCGTAGGTGGTTGGGTTTCCACCTTCCAGTATGCCACCCTGTGGGGTCACCCGCGACGTACTGTTCCCAGTGGCCATAGCTGTAGTGTTACCGGTCGCCATGCTGGATCTGGATATGCCAGTTCATACAGGCAGAGATGCGAAAGTGAGAACTTTTGAAGGTAAAAGAAAGAAGGTGAAGCTGAGAGTCAGACGGGTTACGCCACTAAACCCACACGATAGGGGGGGCTCCAATGAGAAGTCAACCCATGGATCCTTAACAGCTTGGCGATGCCATTTCGCCTAGTCTTATTGAGGATTGGTTGGGCCGTTTTTTCCTCTCACTTTGTTTCACGAGTTGTCTAGACAGCTCTAGAGGTGTTAGGGGGTTACAGTAATGTTGGAATCGCCGCATCCGGTCGCATAGCCGCATTTACCCCAGATTTCTCCGTATGCATTTGAGAGCTTCTCTGTTAGCCCTCTAGTAATTACTGAGATACTTAGCTTACAGTAAGTAATTCGGAAGATAAGATCTCCGCATTTGACTTTCCACGTGGACTTCACTCGGACCGCGCAACACGTGATTTATTGCAGCTCTTGGCTTTAATTTGGGAGTCCCTGTGCAACATATATAGCTTCGCATAGAACGAGGTTAATTAGTACCTCGGTAGGATCAGGAGCAGTAGGACAAAGGTAGGGCGGAGGTCTTGGTCGCACTGTGCCTGCGCTCTTCTGCTTCTAGAGCTTCGACGAAACTTAGATAATCCGCCATGATTAAATTAGACATACATGTAGGTTGGAATATAACTTACCTTACATACATAGCAATGTTGTTACGCACCTCGGCGCGGTTATTAGCGGTACTGATATCCGGAGGAATGGTGTAAGTTTACGCCTGGGCCGGGTAAGGCTAAAGATTTATACTTCCTTCCATAGATATACAGACTGCAACACAACATCGTCCACCCGGTCAAATTGCCGAAATTCTGCTGCATGGATTTTCCCTTTCCCCAATCCCCACAGTGTAGGCGATGTTTTCCCGTACATTTCAGAAGAGCCCAATGCCTGCAGATCCCCCGCAAACTAAACCCCACACTTTCATCACTGTCGGCAGGTCGGACAGTTGATCGACCGATATTCATGCTGAACATAGCCGAAGAGACCCCGCAAAGCTCTCATTGCTACCATCCGGCCTTGTTTATTCCGAAAAAAATTTCCGAAAAAATTTCCGAAAAAGCGTGGGCCACACGATGCCGATTGGCCATACATAAAAAAAAGAGATATGCCTTGCGTCAGGGAAATGCCCCTTGTGAACGTATAAGAACGGGTTCTCCGTCCTTCAGAAAACGAATCTACCGAAGGCAATCTCTCGAAATATCCGATTCCATCGTCATGTATTTTGCTTCCTTGCTACTTGCGCCGGTTTTGGCCGCTGCATCATCCAATATCCCATATGAACAATACATTTTGGCTCCCAAGTCGCGCGACTTGACGCCGGCCTCCGTTTATAGCGTCAATGGCTCAGTTACAGGTGCTAGGACCCTCACACAATCATCCGGCAGTGGGGCCACATTCCATGGCGTCTCATCAGTAACCTACGACTTCGGCAAGAATGTAGCAGGCCTCGTCTCTCTGGATGTTGGCTCTTCTTCATCCTCTTCTGCATTTTTGGGCATCACATTCTCCGAATCAAACCTCTACATTAGCGATCAAGCAAGTGATGCTACCGCCGATGCTGGTTTGGATGCTCCTCTATGGTTCAACGTTGGCAAAGGTGCCGGGAAGTATACACCCGACGAAAAGTATCTCCGGGGTGCGTTCCGCTACTTGACAATCGTCAGCAACACAACAGCAACTGTACCGGTCAAAAGCCTTCGAGTGAACTTCCTCGCAGCCCCGGATCAGGATCTGCGTGCCTACACTGGCTACTTCCACTCGGATGACGAGCTCGTCAACAAGATCTGGTATGCCGGTGCATACACCAATCAGCTGTGCACGATCAACCCCAGACATGGAAACTCCCTGGTGCACCTTGGTAGCATTTCCTCCGGTGATGATATCCAGCTGCCGGAAACTAATACATGGTGGAACAACTATACCATCACCAACGGGACTAGCACGATCACCGA